TCGTGTTTATGGGCAAATTTACATGGTTTCTTCTTAAGTGCCTACTCGTAATCTTAAAAACTATGTTTTACAACTTACACTATTCTGTTTCAGTGAACAAGGCTTTCCGGATTAAATCATACACTTGTTTGCATGAAATAGGCTTTTCCTTATCTGGATGTTCATTGGGTATATTAAACACCAATATGTGCATGAATGATTTGAGACAAAGTTTCTCGAGAGGCGAAATTGAAGTTGTTGACTCTCTGCCCAAAATATTTTAGGTCCTCTAAAGTAAGATCACTTGTAGTTGAGGCATGACATGGCGCTCAATGTCAATCGGCGAGCGGGTTGAACAACTCGGTGCCCAATTTAAAGAACAACTACACACACACATTTGTTAAGTTAATTAACCGTAACACATATAGGCATTAGCCTGTTCTCCAATCCATTTTCTTAACGAAATAAAATATTGTTTACAAAAAAAAAAACCGTAACACATTGGAAAGCCCTTGGAGCATTAACAGTATCAGTATTTTCAAAAGATTATTATACTTAAACAAACAAACGGTCTTAGAATAGTAATTATTTTTGACTAGAAGGTTAAGTCCATTCATGGTCACACGGACCCGCAATGTTACTATGCTAATAGGCACTTAATGACTTCATTGATTTTACTATATTCATTTGTATCAAACCCCAAGTTATCCAAGGCTGTTAAATGTCGGTTATCATATTTTCTAAAAATATATTAATCTTCATCCGTGTACTATTAACACTTGTTGCTTGGCTTAGTTATTACCCTTTCATTTTTTATTTCTATAGGTTCTATCTATTGTATACCTATCGAATGAAATTGTGTGGGTCTTTTAACCAAAATTAAATGGTCCTTTACGGGACCCTTTCACATCTTTGAATATTATCTGAAAGTCTGCAACAATCAAAGAAAGGTTGAATTCAATCAGTCCCTCTTGATACAGTTCATTTGAATATTAAATGACCAGTTTTGGCATATCTTAGGGGGTCAATTGATTATTTTAGATTTACGACTCAAAGTTGAAAACTTGTACGTGTACTTGTGCCTTAATTTACTCATGTCAGTTTTGGTCAAAATCGGATTTACAATTACAATCGATTAGTAACGTCATTAAACACTTAGTTTTAGTGGAATTGTGGGAATAAAAAGACATCAGATTGAAAATTGGAATGGTAGAAATTGATGCTATCAGTGTGTCCCTGATACACTTAAAACATTTAGAAAAAATCTTTGCAATCCCTTTAAATATTGACCCGGTTCGAGTAGATATTCGTTGCAATCAATCTGAGACTGTAAAATTGATCACAGTTGTTAGTAGACGGTCCATAGTTTCTGTAACAATTTCAGCGATATGGTGATGTATATTTGAATGGCATTTTCTGATCGTTGAATCCCTATTGATACAATCTGAGAAAAAACTCAAAATGTTATTAACTTATATTTATGTGGCGAAGACAATTCTTGAAATTAATGACATTGCTAACGATATCCTTCAAACACAAATACTTTCTGAAGTGACTCGAAAGAAATCATTTACTTTGAAGATGTGTGCAATTTAACCAAAATATCATCCATTTAGAATCATTTCAAGATTGTTTTTTCCGCGCTGGTTATTCTTAGAACGGAAATTAACTGCAAATATTTTGTAGCTTACAGATATTTCATATTTTTTTCAAAGCTTAGTACAGTTGTGCAGAATAATGATAAACTTCCTACATACGTAGGTCATACTTGCAGAGCAGTTGCTCTATATAAATGAAAGAATTTAACCTATTTTCACTGTATTTGTTTTTGATGGGAAGTATTCAGTTGGTTTGAATAACTACAAAATTTCAAGAAAGAAAGTATATGATGTACATATTGAAATGATCTGAGACGTTAAATTTATAACGCCTAATAACATAAATCCAATTGTTTCAAGATTGGTGTAACAGCGAAGGAGTCAAATATTTTTAAACAATGACTTAGTAAGTAGTAAGTACTCTAGTAGCTTTGAGCATCTATTTCTTGAATCTTTTATACTACTTTCTGATAACGGAATAGGACACTTTTTTGTAATTTTGTCAATAACCATCTCATTTCCTTCTTAAAAAAAATCAGGACATTAAAAATAAAGTCAGGAAATGTACCCACGACTTCATCCACCTAACAGGAAAACTAGCTATTTCTATAACCATCTCTTTGGCCCACTACATGGCTTCTCCTGTACAAAGTCAGTGACATAGTCGGCCTACTGAATTTTAGATAATGGTGTTATCGTCTCTCAATCTGACAAGACAAGAGTTGTTCATTGTCACGATAGTTTCTAATGACAATTGTTTTGATAAACCTCAGAACATTGTACTGGATTTGAGATGATGGTGCATCTGCGTTAGCATGTCACTATCTGACACGAAAGTTTCATATGTCTATCGCTTTGTGAAAACCCCAGAAACATAGTATATGTACTGAATTTTGGGTAATGGTGATTTGCCATTTCGTGTCACAATCCGATAAGACAAGAGTTGTTGCCCCTGTCACGATAGTTTCGTATAACAGTTCGGTACTAAACACCACAGAAACATAACTGTCTGATTACTTTCAGCACTAACTCGCATTTTGCCAATTAATTTTATGTAAATTGAAATTGACTACGGTAAGATGTCTGAATTATTACGCTTGCGATACAATTGAAACATAGTCGTAGTATCATTTTTTGAGAAATTATTGTCACAAATTGATAGAATTCGTGGAATGTGTTAATCTCAATGTAGTGGTAATAATACTTTATTAATATCTAAACATTCCAAGGTAAATAACATACAAGTTCGGTTTTTTATTACGCTATAAGTTTTTCGATTTGAATAATCTGTCAACAAGAGAGTAGGTTAGATTTTGAAAACATATTTCTACATACATTTCGATAGTTACAAAATCTTTGATTAGTGAGGTTGTGTTAAACGTCAACGTAATCGTAGAAATTTATGTTTGCATGCTAATGGTATAACACCAGTAGAAGTAGATAAATATGTTTCTCATTAGGATAATATGACATAGAGATCTAATTGACGCGAGTTTCTAATACAAAATCATCAAAAGGGCAGCTAGGCATGCGCATGAGGACAGTAAGCGAACTCACCCAAAATCTAATCGAATTGAGCTCGTCTAATGCTACCAGAAAGAAAGAAAATTCTCATAGACAGCTTCTTTTGAAATTCAAGCTATCGTGGAGGTCTTAACAATTTTTTGGCGAATTTTTAACGTTTTACTATTAACAGTTTGTGTATAGTAAAAATGGTATAACATGTATTAAAACTAGGAATCACTTTAAAAATACATGTTATTGACTATTAAAACGAACGTATCGAAACCCTGTATCTGATAGATAGTAATTGTTCTACTGAAAACCTACAAATTCAAGTGAACCACTTTTTCATTAGCTTCTTAAAATTGTTTTCAATGAAAATGTCGTCTAGATTTACACCTACACTCATATCAACAAAACAATTTTTCCAATAAGAAATTTGTTCATTAAGTGTAAATATGGCCATCGAGTTTCTTATAACGAACTATCTTTACTAGCCAATTTAGATTTCCCCGCAAGGACATACTTTCTCTTATACAGCTTCCTTGAATTGAAAACCCATCGATATTTTTGCGAACATCAACATCATTAAAACCTACATATTTATTCCACCCTTAACTGAAAAATCGAAATATAATAGACAATGCCGATGACTCTCTGTGTGGTTAAAAGATTAGAAAAAATTGGTGTAATTTTTATTTCTCCGGTAGTTTCTTTGATGTAGAATTAATATTATCCCCTGTAATCCTTTGAAATTTCCTAGTACGTATGTATAATTTTTATTGAAATGTAATATCAGGGGCATAGTGATTGCGAGTCTTTGAGTGGTCTTCAATATCACTGTCGTTTATAAAATAACGTTTTTTACGTGCTACCCAATATATTTTTTCTTTGGTTGTGCCCTACTCCTTTTGGATGTACATTGAAGTGGCAGTTGCAATTGGTGATGAACTATTTTGGCTAGTCTGTAATCCTGGTGAAACATTGCTCACAAATTTGTCCATTTCATGACCTGTTCAGATATCCGCTTCCCTGGACATGTTTTGTCAATGGTATTTGTTCCAATCTGTTCCTTTCGTTGGACCTGTTACATGATGCATTAAAGGTCCACAGAAACTATCCTAGCATACCAAATTATTCCAGACTATGTAGGATTGCACTTGATCAAATCATTATTCATTGAGCAACCCGACAATATGGATGGCGTCGATTAGTCTAAGAACATTTTAATTATTTCGAGTAAATGTATTGCAAAGTGAAGGTCTATTGAAATAATTAGTGTCTTACTGAACGCTTAATTAGAATGTATGGCGAAGAATTAAGTAGTGCTTCTAAATGACAAGTCTCATAATCATCCCTCCAGAAATATTAACTTCATAACATTTCAGATAGCTGCAGGCCAGTAGCGTCGGCTGTAAAAAATAAAAATAAAAATACGACCTTGTATTGCTTAAATGGATTCGTCTAATGGGCGATCTCAACACCACTTAAGCAAATATAGAAATCACTCAAATAGTGTCTTACATACAAGTTATGCATTTAAAGCTGCAGAGAGTATGTACTGCTTTGTAACAACTATATATTAGAAAGAGGAGAGTCAACGGTTTTTCCTTTGTACTAAACACAACAGAGCTCAGAACTCTTCATTAGTTGGTACCTTTGTTAGATTAAAACTCATTTTGAAATTTTTGTCGACATTCGTGTTGTAGTATCCAATTTGATCGTCTGAAAAGCAATATCCAATAAATACCGTGTCATAAGTACCATCATTACAGAGAAATCTTCAATTTATTCTCTTTACTTATTTCATTTAGAAAGATAATTAACGCGTGTGATAGTACTTATGAATGATCAGTGAAAAATACTACGATTCTATTGTATTTGTTTTTTTTTTTTACTTTTCAGACAATTCAGAGTAAAATGGATGTACATATATCAATATTAGGAATGGTGTTTGCTTTAATTTGTTTTAGTAATAGTGCTCTTATACATAAAAAAGGTAAGAATAATTTCATTTGAAATTCAGCGTTGGCAATTTCGTAAATGGGTCCTTAATCATTTGTTTAATTGTTTGAGAGTTTTTGTCCATGGCTTTGCTCGAAAAGGACTTTACTGGATTCATAATCAAACATTTTAGTTAGCGATTTTTGCGATATATGTACGATCGTTGAAAAGAATGAATCGAGCTCCTGAACTCTTTTCAGACGTTTTCTATGTCATGTATGAGTGTGCTCTGATTTTAATATGGACAGTAACAATAATATCTCTTAGATCAGCATAAATGTGCATCACCAACCACGCTATCTGTATTCTTGCATAGGTTATACTTACAGAATTGTATGTATAAAGGAAAACCATATCGCAGGAGGATATTGTGAAATCGTGTTGGGCACAGCAAACTAATTGAAATTGTGAAATATTTGGTAATGTCTGTATTTCACTTTCTGAATTGTAAGTGGAATCGTGGAATCTTGTCAATGTAAAAAAACTTCAAGTTCTTAGGTGTAGAATATATATTTCTGAGGAAGCCTAAAACTTTCACCAGTGCTATGTTACAAACCATACAATGAACGTTGATAGTTTGAAATTGAAAGTAGCACGAGAACCTCAAATCAGGCTTAACTAATGCAAAATGATTAAATGACGCTAATGTTCATTTGGAAATGGACATAGCATAAATTCTCGATCCCATAGGAACTTTGGCGGAAACAGAGGAAGTAGTATAATACTGAACTTCTGAATCGTGACGGTTAATTGTTTTATAACGTGATAATTTGTGAAATCAGACATATAAGATCTGAAACCAGCTACTTCAACAAAAAGCTGATAGTTGTCTGCCACATGCTTGCAATAGAACGAATCAATTTTCATTGAATGCAATTGACGATGCTTTTGGAAAACTGGCTTTAAAAGACAAGTGATAATTTTTACATCTTTGAAGGAAAATTTTATTAATTAATATTAACTTATAGAACTGATAAAGTTCAATATCGCCTACCTATAACAATTCTTCTAATGATGTAGTCATCTTAATGATAAATTATCAGATTGTAAATCTTCCCGATTCATTACCAGAATTCAAGTGATCATCACGTATTGTTGCCAAACAATTAAAACAAAAACCGCATTAATGGAATTTTAGAAGATCGTCATTAACGTCCAGAATCCTGTTTCACAAAAATCTTGCAATCAATTTTGTCTTATTATGTTTGGTATTATTTTGTCAATGTAAAATTACACACTTAAGACAAATCTTGTCGAATTTGATTTTAAAACGGGACCCTGAGCGCCATGAGCTTTACGTTTATAATTGCAGTTATAACCCATACATCAAAGGATGATACAAATTTGTGACAACTTTACTGTTTTATAATAATTTGTATTGTTTGTATTTTGTAGATACCGGAGACAGAGAGTTTAAAAATTTAATGTCATTAACGAGTACAACAGAGAAAATGTTAAAAGAAATAAGTAGAGACAATCAAGAATTAAATGATAATGAAGAATTTAAAACGTACGATCCTAAATTATTTGAAGGCCACCGACTCCGGCTATTAAAAAGAATGGTTAAGACAATGGAAAGGCGTCGTCCAAGGCGGAATATTCTAGGAATCCTTAAGGATAGTGTGAGCAACAATCTTTCCGATCTATTACTACACGCATTAGACGAAGAACCACCCTCAGATTATAAATTTCGTGGTAACTTGTGGAAATATTCTAGAGACCCTGCATGGGGAGAAAGAGAGAGTAAACAATCTCAAGAGAAAAACGTTGATCCTATGATGAATTTGATAGGATTAGGCAAACGATAAATGCGAAATTAGGATGTTATATAAATTGCAGTTTGAGTGAATATTGCGAAACACACTCACCTTTGTGAACCTTTCTTGACACAAAGCATACAAATGTGCAGTGATCAGTTAGGATCAGTTGTGGTACCTCACAATTCCAAAGTGATTCAATGCAGTTCAATGCATTCTAAATATAATCGTTGAAATTATTTGTGCTTTTTGTATGACTTATATTAAAAAGTTTGTGGAACGAGTTGAACGAACAATAGTTTGATAAATTACTACACTATGTCGAACGTTGCCTTTCACTGTAATTATTATTATATTGACAACTTCTACTTTCTAAGCTGAAGAACTTCTAACAGTCAGAGTTAAGATCGAATTTGAATACGATTAAAATTAAGATGTGTAAAATATAGACATTTCCAATTTTGGTTCAAACAGTTTGTATTGTCTCATTAATTTGTGCACGTATATCCTTTGTTTTGTTATCCTAATTATTTATAGAGCTCTTTACTAACCATAATTTATAACTTAGTTCGTGACGTTCTCCAAATACACGATCTTGAAGATATGACGTCGAAAACCAAGTAAGAGGGCCATTTCAGTCGAATAACTGTAAGATATCATTCATACTTCAGACAGATATGGTTTTTAACAAGTTTTTTTCTTTAAGTTATTGTCTCGTATGAGAATCAGGTGCCATCAACCGATTATTATCAAATAAAGTTGATTGTGGTAAATGGTTTGGAAAAGGACCAACTTGTGTACAGCATTTTCGTTACCAAGATTGTCACCCTAGCTCAATATTTTGAATATATGTTTCTATGTTTTTTCTTATTTGTTTTTATTTTCTGGAAATAGTTCTGAACACTCAATCTTGTAACGTTTTGGGCGTTTATCAATTTTCGAGAGTATATATGATGCCAATCTACGGAATTCGTGGTTTCAAGTACTACATTACATTCAAATCACCAAAGTCTTTCAGACAACGGAAACATTGCCTCAAATCGGTTCCAAAACATAAAATTAGTTCAGTCTAGCATTACCATTCATGGATTTGGATAAATTTGGTGTAATGATGTGGTACGTTGAAAATTTTAATGTCAATAGAGATAATGATTTTGTCGTAAATGTTTTAAACTTCATGAAATATAATTTTGTCGTTGTCACCTTTTATTCTTTTATTATTGTTCAGATTTTATTATTAAATTCAGGACATGTGTAGATATTGTTATTGCAAGTCGTAATCAATACTGTGTTCACCCAAATATTAAAAATAATACCACTTTCGCACTGCACAACTTGATTATTGAATTCCGAATAACCGAATAAAAAAATCCGATTCAGTTAGAATCGATTTGCTTTTACCCTGCAATCCTTTCTGGATAACCGCTTTCACACTGACGAGAAAAGATATTAAGATAACTTTTTTTTAGTAAAACGTCCTGTCACCGTTAATCCCGTTATTGTGATTTTCAAGTTCTTCAATTATAACGTCCCTGTGAGCAGAAGACGCCATTTTGAAGTGTTTACTCACGTGATATTCTTATATGGATAACCTCTTGTTTGGTTCGCACTGTAACCTATCTGGATCGTATCCAGACGAAATCCACTTCTCAGGTAGATTTTTCTATCTGGATAATTTCTGGTAATAACTGAATAAGTTTATTTTCATGCAAAAGTAAATGGAAGTTATTCGGATAGAACTGGATAGAACTGTATTATTTTTCATTGCGAAAGAGGTAATAGTGTATTTATGCCTACTTTTGGAGCCCATTCACGGACACAGACGCTAATTTACACACTAATTAACCCCGAGTATAACAACTCATTATGTTTCGGTTATTATTTAAGAAATTTCAGACATGGTTTTGTCCACTTAACATAATGAAAATGTTCGGAAACCAATTAACAATTCAAATACATTCTTTTAGAATGACTTCCCCTACTTTACTTAACAATGGGATGTCGAATTGATAATGACAGTTTTTTGTCAGTAATTCAAGTGTAGATTGTCGGGGCACTTATAGCTAGAAATAAATATGTCAAAAGTATAATAGTTCTTTTTACATTTGGAAGGTTTTTGTCTCAATTATTTATTAGAGAATATCTTTGATATGGAATTCACGCTTAGAATTGGTTTCTATAATAAGACTCACCCTGATATGTACACTATCAGCATCCCCAACCACCAATCTGTGAACCCATGATATACGTAATCACCAGTGACAGGTGAAGATCATTTGATGATGGTAGTCTATCTTTGAAATGTACATGTATATCGTATAAAAATTGTAAATGTGTTTATTAAAAGCTATTTTCAAAAAATGTTTTTATACCAGTCACAAGAAATTTAAATCTTTTTGAAAAAGTTCAAATCAGCATCTAGTCTATGAAGAAAGACAACAGTTCTTATACCTTTTTCTCAAAAATATCTCTGTGGCACGTGATATTTTTGTTTTGTAATAACGACCCGTATATGATAGCCTTAACATTAATAACAAGCGTGTTTGCCAGGTCTCCCTTGGGCTCAGCATTATCTAGTAGGTGTTTCTGTCTGCAAAGATTCAGGCATTGAAGGATTGGTCAAAGAGAAAACCTCGAGGATTAGAAGTCTGTGAGGTGAAATGTATTAATTATCTTGGCGAAGGAGTTATTATATTTCACAACTTGTGATTACAGGTGCTCTTAATAACGCATTGAACCTGAGCACAGATAACTGGCACACACGTGAACTCGATCATTTGGAAATACAAACGGTTTGATAAACTGCTGCATGTGATTTTCACATTCACCGGCTCAGATTCATTATCTGAAAGAATTTATACACTGGCATAATCTATAGATTTGATTTATACATAATACCGTCTTCAATTTTGAGATTCATTCATTGCCATTGATTTCACACGCAAAGTTTCGCCAGGTATACCCGAAGGTGAGGCTCTGATCGCCAGTTGTCAATATTATATATAACATGAGTACTTTGTTGTTCAAAACAAATCACCGGAAGCGAAAATTGTCGTTTACTTGACATTTGAAATGCATCTATAGCGATTTATGTATATTGATTAAATGGCTCTACAGTCTAACATTGTTTTGTAGCCCATAATGAAAAGTTTGGCAAATAGTATGACAGATTCCTAATGATTTTGAGTACTCAAGGTGCATTGAATCTTAGCTTGTATTTGTAAACACCCTAATAAATCAGCAGTACAATCAGATTGGTAGAGTTCCTAAATTCCTAGAGCTCAATATAATGTATCCTGTATGTTTTTAAAGGATGGAAATCCGACGTCTGGCACGTTTAATTTTATTTGGATGTAAGGTAACAGAAAGCAGTTGAAAGTACATTCGATCTTTCAAACATTTTTGAATGTGGTAGAACAGAAGATCTGGAAAATCTGACATAATACTCATCTGAACTATTCGATGAAAATAAGTGTATCACTGACAAGACTGTGCGAAAGTGCCTGATTTTTATTTTCAGACGGAAGCAAGTAAACCGTCTGAATAACATTCAGAGATTATTTCGGACCATATCTTTACTTTATCAGTACTTCTATAATACATAAATATTCGTCGTCGGGTTCAATGTTATTTAAATTGTACTTTTGACTCAATAATTTCAATTTGAATTCCATGCCACAAGTGTAAGATAATCTAAACGTGTATCTTTCGATTAAGAAGTCAGAACAGCTGGCATAATGACATTAATGACAAACTTAACAGACATTTACAATCTTATTTAACCTTTCGTTGATGTCTGATGAATGCGAAAATTAAGTAATTTAAAGGGGTTGAGGGTAACGTTTCGGTTTCATAAAAACGGAAGTTTTAAAGGGATTGTAAAGAGGTATTCCGCATTTACATTTCACTTAAATTATGTGTCACTATGACGTCACTAATTTAAGGACTTATCAGGCTAACTAATTTTGTGAAAAGTGGCGTCTTCAACGCCCCCCCCCCCCCCTCCCGGAAAATATTCTGACAACCGATCCATTCCATTACTGCAACTAAACACCATATCAGATCGCAATAGTCCGTCTGTGATATTATTAACGCATGCTTTAAGACCTGACATCAATGTCGATCAGCGGTTCAATATTTTACTGTCTATAATAGCAGTATGTGGGTGCTCTGAAAAAGGTTGTCGTTTAATGCACTTTATTCGCCTCTTCTCTCATCTTTGCAAGATTTTGTTGACTAGGTATTGTATTAGTTTATGTATAGATTATTATGCTATTTTAATGAAGCTGATAGCTAAAACTATGATTTCACAACCGCGGTCAGTGGTCTTAACACATGGATACTGGAAGTTTTTATTCCCTAGACTTCCTGGGTTTTCTCCAATTCTGCCTACTGTAAGAAAGAATTCCCACATGTATACCAATTACATCATATATGTCTTAATATTTTAAAATAGCATCGCCCAACATAATATTTTTTTTAACAAAAAAAATTCGCGGAAGTTTCAGAATAATTATGCGAGGCAAAATTTTGTGAGAAGAAGTACACAAATTTCCAACTTTTCGAGTTTGTGAGATATTTGCAGATTATAAGCAAAAAGTATGATTTTAATCCTACTTATTTTTTTTAAGTGTTTCGGAACTGAAGAATAATTATCAGCGTCTTGCCTAAAGATGTTTTGGTTGTTTCGTCTCCCTTTAGTTTACTTTTATGGCAACAGAATTTCAACAAACAAGAGTAATTTGTTATTTGACTGGACTCGCACTAATCAATATTTTCCATTCACATTTATTTCAAAAACTGTAACCTACTTTTATAGCCTCAATTTAAATAGATGGTTGTTAGTATATTTCATTCATTAGTTAGATAAATCAGAGACGTTCATTGATCTGTGATTATAGGCTTATATATATAATAATATACTAGTTGGCGTAATGAAGTAAAAATATTGACACTAGTGGTATTTATTATGTCCTTAAAAAACCTACATTTCAGATTAATAGAAACATGTAGTAGGAATTCTAATTGTTATAGTAAGAATTCAAGTTAGGTAGAGCATGGATTCTACAAGGGTACAAGTTGAACATGAATTTGGTACAGTGTATTCTAAATGGCTACAGTATGAACTCTTGACAGCTACAGTATTATTTCGAGATTAGGTATAGTTTTAATCTTGTCCGATATAGATTCAAATTGGACTCTGTTTAATTAAGATGAGTTCGAAATAAATTCTAATTGGGTACAGCATGAATTCATAACTACAGTATGATTTCTAGCTCTAGTATAGTTCTAATATACATGTAATACAATATGAACTCAAATTGGGCTCTGTATAAATTTAGGATGAGTTCGATATCAATGTTAATTGGGTAAAGTATGAATTATAATTGGGTACAACATGAATTCATGATAACTACAGTATGATTTCTAGTGAAGTATAGTTCTAATATACATGTAATACAATATGAACTCAAATTGGACTCTGTATAAATTTAGGATGAGTTTAGGTATAGTTCTAATATAATATAATGTAATACAATATGAACTCAAATTGGACTCTGTATAAATTTAGGATGAGTTTAGGTATAGTTCTAATATAATATAATGTAATACAATATGGATTCAAATTGAGCTCAGTATATTTTTTCCATGTTTGAGCAAAAAATTTTTTAGACCTACAAATATCAATTACCGAACTGATTTCTTGATTCAAAGGATTAATGATGGTCTGATTTACCTACGAAAATATTATTAACTCCCTTTAATCCTTATAATATCTTTTCGATTCTACAAACATACAAGACTGAGATACAATAAATATTTCAAGAAAGGAATAATCGATTACAAGAATTTAAAGTCGATTTTAGTGACCATCCAATTTTTGGAACAATAAAATCCTTTAAGTTATGTTTTCGTGAAAAAGAACCCAGACTAAAACCGTCATAAACTGGTCAAATGTTGGTTAAAACAGGGTTGGTAGTGTTTTTATCTGCATGAAAATGGTCGTATGTATATGTATCGACATAGGTATTTAGTGCATTTGATTCTAAGAAACAATATCTCCTACAGATAATAAAGTAACTGGTGTAGTGTGAAATTGATTGGAAGTTAAACGTGTAACATATTGATTATATTCAGATTGATTGATTTGATTTAGATTTGTTGGAATCTCTGTTGTTTAGTAAGTCGTGAATTTTGCGTTTCCTTGCATTGGTTTTGAAATTTGAAGATCCTTCATATCTACAATCATTTTCTTACTAGTTTAAAAGGATATACATTGAAAAATGTACGGAACAGAAACCTAGATATACAGCATATAAGCGTTAAGGTGGATCTGTTGCAATCGACATGAGTTAAATGATAATTGACGGATTACAACTTACAACTGCGATCAACCGCCCTGGTCGATGACAAGATCTTAAAGTATGAGCAACTGAAGCAGGTTTTTACAAAGTCTAACTGCGTAACAGTAATATGAACAACTCTATTTCCTTTCAGTCAAAAAACGTTTGAGATAGAAATGATCAGTGACGATCAACGACCACATATTTCGATAAAGTAAAATGGTGTTTGTATTTGTTTAACAATAGTTTTATCTGTAGTGAATATATTATATTGATCTTACTACTATCTCTATCACGTCAATTATCAACCATTTTTTACTCCTGGCTATTTACACAGTGATTATTACAGTAAGGTTTGTTCTCATTATTTCCCTATATTAAATATGAACAACATGAAAGTCGGCTCGAGTGTGTTAAAGAATCTCATCAGGTGTACATTACAGTCGTCAGGAGGGAGCGATGTTACACTTTCAACCAACTACTCTAGTCGACTACCGTGCCCAAGGTGACAAAAATCAACGAGAGACCATATTCTTTCAGATTTCGCAAGCAGTCGTCATGTTCAGTCTGTTGCATGGACGCTCTGAGCTCATACCTACTTATCTGTATATATCAGAGGTCAGATCATGCTACATCTGTAACAAACAAACGTATTGAGAGTTTTAAAGAAAAAATAGTTTGATTTCCGTAAACAGCAAAAATGTTTTTAATAACACCGTAAAATGATAGTTTAATCCTATCGATCTAGTTTTGTTTAAAAGGAAAAATGCGAAGTAAACAATGATAAAACACTAGGTATTATGCTTTGTGGTAAATAGTATATATAACAATACGGGCACATAATATTATAAACATAGGATTAAAGCTTAGGGATAATCTTTTGATCCTTAAACAGATTTTACTGTTTGACATATTAAATATATTTGATCACATTATATCATATATCGCACTCCTTGTAATATAATCAAACCTATTCCAAACTCAATCAAATCAGTCAAGCATTTCGTATTATATTGAATAGAAGGACTGTTTAGACATGTACATTGAGTGGTATCAACAAACATTACTATTATAGATATATGTGGACATGTATACGTCAATATGTTGAAATGTGTTTTGGAGGCGATTTTGACTTTGGATCTAATATAACGTTATGAAATATCAAGAGTTGATACAGGTAAGCTGTTAAACTATGCAAATACTATCTTTTTATGCCTAGCTCAATGAATATGGACGATATGTCTCTCTGCGTGCTTGTGTTCATACAAATATTCCTTGAAGTATGCTAACCTTTCCTCTTGTTCAAGGCTAATAATTTCTTCAAAACATATATCGAAACAGCAATGGATTCAAAAAAGATTTCCCTGCAATTAAATCCACACTAACGTCCTCAAATACGTGATAATCTCACAAGATTTTGGAATATATCGAGGCATGGATTTAAATTAAATGAGTGAAAATTTGACCTAATTTGTGAATAGTCTATCTGACCTTCCATATTTGAATTAATCTCTGGTTTTGTAACCTTTCTGAATCTCGGTTGATCCATAAAAGTATTCTATTACATAAAGGTTTATGGATTTAACCGTCATAGTTTTCTGCTCCATTTCGGACTAATAATGACGGGCTAATAGGTTTGAAGAAAACTAATATACTGTGAATAATATTACAATCAAATTTGCTTAGGAGTCAAAATATATGTATAGAATACCAATTTTCAATACTCTCTTACAAATGTTTCGGAAACAGGAGTTTAGTCCCTTTATATTCCACTTTCACAACAGTATCTTTCTTAACGAGAGAGTTTATCTTATCTATATCTGTTACAATGTTTCTATATAAATATTTAAATACCTTCTATATTCCAGGCAACCTATGATGCAATTAAATCACACAGTAAGATAATATCAATTCAAGACACTATGGATACGATAAAAGAAGTGGATATTCTCAGTGATGGAAATTCTCCTGTACAAGGTAGTGGAGATCAAGAAATTGAATTGTTTGACTCTAGTGCTATGGAAGCAATTTCTACAAGACCGTCCTCAACACCGAGAATGCCTACGTTAACGTCACGGGCCACGCTAATCCGTACACCTAAAACGGCGACTCGTGTTATAGAAGAAACTGAAGAGAAAGAGACTCAAATTCTTCAGAAATTAATTGAAGAACCTCAATCCGTGTTAATCACAGAATTAGTAGAGGAATTCATCACTTCACCACCTTTAGATCAAATGAATGATTCTGATTCCGAGGATAGTTTATATGACAGAGAGTTTGAATCACAGACAGTCGCTCTAGAACCCGCAATATCAGAACCTCTTAGTGATAGTAAACTTGATGAATATTGGGACACTGATCTCGAAGAGGACGGTATGTATTTATTTATTATTTAACAGAAAACAATTCTATGTCCTTTTACTAAAAAAAATAGCCACGCAATTTCTGATTTGAAAAGGACTTCAGTTGTAACAAATTGGTGATATATCCAGCCGATCTCAACTACCTCTTCTAAATTTCTCAATAAAGTATTTGCTGCAACCCAGGATTGTACATTTGGGAGACCCTTTACCTAACTTAATATAATTGTTGTAATCCAGTCATCTGAAAAAGTGTATGTAACTCAATTTTTTGTAAAACCTCAAGGTTCGACCACAGCATGGAATGAGGTAATACCTCCGGTCAGAGAAAGTGTGTAATTGTCCTGTCGTTCGGATAGGAAAAGAAACCAAGGCCCGTTTCATTTTGTTATAAATGCATATATATGCAATCAGTGGTTCTGATTTTAGATGATGAAGATAGAGAGGATCCAGTTGTTTGTCAATATAAAAAGATATGTGAAGATCTAGGAATTGTACCAATATCATATTTCATACGTCATATTAATGATACTGATATTCAGATGAAATACCATGGTTTAGATTCATCAGCAACTAAAGCTATATCTCTTATATTGAAGGTCAGTTTCTTATTTTGTGATACTAATGTATACTAAGTTCATTTAAGGTTTAGAAGCTTTTATGAGATTAGGAGCTCAGAATGAACATGGATAAATATGCATAATAATATGGATATTAAACTTAGTATTACAATCTAACCACATGGTTAATATATTTATGTTCCCGGACCATCGCTCGGATGTGAGTATTTTCTGGGTTGCTGCTAGAGGGTATTAGTTTATAGTACAATACACTTTACTGCTCTTACCTCGATGTTTCGACCCCTGCATGCATCGAAAGAGTACTTTCATATTTTCAAATGAAAAGATGAAAGGAAAAACCTCTTACATGCTGTCTCGTTTAAAGAAAGGTTTACCTCACGACGATGGTAAACAAATTCAACCATTAAATCCAGTATCTCATAATCTGCCCACATAAGCCAAATCGTGTGAAAACTAAACAGCGTACTATTCCATTTCAATTCCTACGGTTTACTCAAAACAGTGGTTGCTCAAACGGATATGTTTCAGGACATTGATTTCGTTTAAGCATTGTAATTACAATTTTTTTAGGATGATGTCCATATTGAAAAGATTAATCTTGAAGGAAATTGGATAAAGGCTGAAGGTGCTCGTTGTGTTGCTAAAATGTTGGAAGAAAACGACTATGTCACAGACCTGGTAAGCTTCTACTTTATAGAAAAACTATTATCATAATAGCATTACCTTGATTATAAACAAAGTGTACTCTAACAAAGGGAATTATACTCGATAGCACTACAATGATCCAACGATGGTGTTTAATTCTTAGAAATCAAAGTGTCAAAACGTTTTGGTCTGGCAAATTTTATATTTCACAACACCAGCTTGATCAAAACCATTACACGACATACTATATTTCTCTCATTATAAGGTCTAGATAACTAGCTTGGTAATGATGGTGCTCAATTATCTTTCTATCCATTTTAGGGTTTAGGTGATAACAAACTAGGTAATGATGGTGCTCGATCAATCTGTAAAATTTTAGAAATTAATGGCAGTCTACGTAGTTTAGATCTATCGGGTAAATGTTTTTCTTTCGTTCCTCTCTACGTTATAAGAAATGTGAAACGCTCTCTATTTTTTGCTAATTATAAGGTTAGTTAAAACCCAAGATTTTTATCTTAAAGTAATTTTAAAGAACAATATGGACATATTGACCCCTTTTTACCACAAAAAGTTGTTTTTGTGCTTAGCATAGCTTGATGGATAAAATAATGCCACCGATTTCAGGAACTATATGTACATTTACGTTTCCTATATGATCGATTAGCTTAGCCAAATATTTTGTCTAATTTGCGAAATATTATTTTCAGGAAATGAAATAGATGATAATTGTGCGGACTGTATTTCCGGTACTATCGAGGTAAGGTTCCTTTGATTTAAAGTTTGACAAATTCAAATTTGTTTTGTTTTTATATGGATTTTACGATGATTTATACGATCACAACTACTAATAACATGGTACAAACATATTTAATTCAATATATAAAACCTTTGTCCAAAAAGCTAAGCTTAATGAAGGATATTGATTTATGTAAATGATTTTTACATGCCATATGAATAGAATAGAATTAAAAGTTACTGCATGTATGAAAGAACAAGTATGCAAAGATCTATGATGAGACTTTTTTTTTTCTCTTTTGTTTCAGAATTGTAAAAATTTAAAACATTTGAATTTAAGTCATAATCGGTTTGGTGAACCTGGTGGAGAGAAACTTGGGCCGGCAATAGGTAATGTTTTATCTTTGTCTCATAAACAGTCGGAGTGCTGATCTGAGAACTAACCAACTTTTCCCTCTGGTAGTAATCATATATGAATGGAAAATTTCTGACTTGTTCCGTTTACTTCTAGGTGCGAATGACAGACTTGATTCCCTTGATCTAAGTTGGAATCATGTCCGGAAGGTTGGTGCTTGTGCAATTGCTAAAGGTTTAAAAGAAAATGTCGGCTTGAAAGTCTGTAAGTTAGCATGGAATGGTTTTGGTCCAGAAGGTGGATGTGCTATAGCTGATGCTCTAGCTACAAACCAATCGTTAACAGAACTAGACATTAGTGGAAACAGACTAAATTTAACTTCTGCTGAGAAGATTTCCAAAGCATTTAAAACCAACGATACCTTGAAAGTATTACGCGTAAGTATTAAAAATCGTTTTACAGTTTAATCAAAAGTAGTGCAATATCAGTTTTGAAACACTGAACTGTGAAAGCAAAACATTGTATTTAAATTTCTTTGTCTTTCACTTTTGGGGGAAGAATGGCGTATTATTTCGTAAATAAATCACACACACTTATCTTATATTACTCCAAATTGTACTGACCTTGATTGCAATCTAGAATGATACAGTGTCAATCAACAATCATCCATCATATTTCATGAAGACATCTAATAACCAATCAGACCATGGAAATTGTATGGTACATGGTAATAGATACTAAACATGCCACTTCCTGTCTAAATCAGTCGATACCATAGTGTGAGCCTAAACAAGTTTCAATAAAATATTGCTCATCATAATTAACTATGTAGTAATGAAGGAACTGGATATGATCATAACTCGGACTAGTTCCAATATCTGAGACTTTAATTACTTAATTATAGTGAAAGCCAGCCACATCATCATTGATAAAGGTCAAGGTGCACTATTTGTGTCACTTTTAATACGTTATACGACCTCTCTGAAATGATGGACTTGTGGAGTAGACCTTGGTTCTAGCTGGGATATCCAAAGTGTTATATTATATTTAGACCCATTTTGATATTGAAAACAATCTCTAGCTTCCACCAGAGAATTGTCCATAGATTCAAATTTGATTTTGGTTGCTTTCTTTAAAGTTGGAAAAGTTGAACTAGAGCTTTATCTGATTTCGGTTTATTCTAAAAGCAAACATTCATATTAAGATCCTTGAGCTTGAATGAGTAGATGTACTATCTAATGAATGAGGTGTACTGTGTGCTAAATTTTTAAAAGGGCTCACTCTACCCGAGATCGCGGGTTTGTCGCAGTAACACAACAAAAATCAGAAAAGAATTACATTACATTTCAACAAAAATTATCCTGGTTAGCTATCGAAAACACATTGACTTTAACATTGATTTCAGACGTTTAATTCGCTAAAAGACAGGGGTTTTGATCGCAACTCCAAGAACGCAACCTTGTTTAAATTTTGCCTTTGGAGAATGTCAAAGAAACAGTCTGAAATAACATCGTCCTGTTATGACCAGCATAAAATGATTGTTGCAATACTGTTAATTTTTAAACTATTTTGTTCATCTGAAATGAGAATTATAAATAATAAAAAGGTAGCGTTAATGTGAAGGTTTCAGATTCAGTTGAAAGTGGAAAACCACAGGCAATTCGCTTACTTAAGATCGTGGATGACACATAAGGTTCAATATAGTTCGATAAATATGACACGTATGGGACACGTTGAACCCGCGTTAGATTTATTCGCCTGATTTGTCAAAAGTCAATCTAGTATTTGACATTTTCACCCGCCAATTTTATGCTCAATTACCATGTGTATTAAAACGGCAGTAATTAATGTCTGTATTATTTTTAGATGGGAAATAACTTAATCACAACTACTGGTGCTATCTGTCTAGCTACTGCTATTAACACAAATGTTAATTGTGAATTAGAGCTTCTAGATCTAACGGTAAGTAATTTGGATAAGTTTTTTGCCCAGCTTCACTGATTTTACACACTGATTTAGATTAGGATATTGATTCTTTAAATGTAAGCACATATTCTTGGCAGTGTATGCTTCGAAATACACTGTGAAGACAAACTTTTTTTTTGTAAAACCATGTGTGGCAAAACGCAAAGCCGAATTGATAAGAATGTTAGAATTGCCTGTTTCAAGTATTCTTGTAGTTGAATGTAGGTGAACTGAATTAGGTTGGCGTATTTTTTATTTGAAATTAGTTCCATTTTGAGTTTGAAAAATACCACTCTTCATTGATTAATGTAGTAAGATAACGTCTAAAATTCTATAGTACCTTATCAAATTCCCTTATGATTTATTTATTGTATCAAGAAAAATCGAGTAGTACATATACATTGATCTCTCATTGGACTGCATGGCAGTAAATTTTGTGATTCTATCGCTACAATAAGAGAATCAAATTCATTTTTGTGAACATTCATAGCTATAGTACCAGACCATTTTCGTGCTAAATGATTGTAATGGAAAATTTATGAGACAAAATGAAAATTGGTGCGACCAATTGCTTATCAAATTTGTCAATCTAAATTGAGTCCGAATTGATCTTGCTACTTGACCATCATCTTTGACCATGTGTTCCGTCGAAGCATGTTCTTACTCCCCTGGTCAGGTTTCTCTTTGTGATTTATACGAAAACCAAGGTCCTTGTTGGGTGTATCAAGTTTGTTCAAATTTGGACCAGATCAAACTATAAGGATGTTACACCAATCAAATAGTTCTCGAAATGATGCCCAATAAAAATATCTTTATTTCCATCTTCTTAAGCTTATTGCTTTAACAAGTCCAGTCGATAGTTACACAGACATACAGTGGTACATGGTTCGCTTGTTCACATTGATCAACTTTGAGTTGTAATCAAGGATTGTTCTCAGATTATGTATTTTATTTTCCATCTTTATTTTGTGGCTTTGGTACAATTACAGAAACAGATGTAGGGAATTACGGATAAAGCACAAGCATTGTAGCCTCCGCAAACTATATGTTCGTTTGTCAAATGAAACATTTTTTTCTCTGTTTACTGTATACATGATTTTTCTTCGTGTACATTCTTGCGTGTACTTCAAAGTACGTGGCTATATTAAATGTGTCTCGGTTTCAAGTTAGACTGAAACTAAAATCGATAATATATTTTCTATTGTACTAGGATATTCCAGTGGAATATGAATTTTTAAGAATAGTAGAAGATATCAAAGCTAAAAGAAAGGAGTTTCAAGTAATACATGGACCTATAATACGATCTGGAAATACTGGCCATGATTTATCAAAGCCAGCTATAGACCCTTACAAACGTAAAGAACCAGTGTTAATATTAGATGGACATATTGTAGTTAATGATTTAAGATTGATTGAAATACTCTCAAGATATGATCCTACTGGTTGCTTTTCTGTTTCACCTGAAGACTTCATTACAGCTTTGGACGTAAGTAAACTTGAAAAGTCGCACAATTTTTTTTATCGTTATTACTCTTTAGAATTGAAATTCAATGTCGGTTAGACTAAAAGATTTATTAGAATGTGGCGTCTTTGAAATCTTAAAAGTGCTCTTTCGAGAAGAGAGGAACATCTCGAGTCCTGGAGCGTCAATCAAGCAGAATCAGCCAGATTATACTTATACATGATTTGTAGCCATAGGTAGTTTCTTAAAAGTAATAGTTTTAAAATTGATCATTAAAACATCTATCGTTTATGCTTCAGGAACTTGCAGTGCCATATGATAAATTAAAACTTCAAGACACATTCGAGAAAATTTCCAAAGATCAATCAGGCAGAATTTATTTGGGGTAAATTTATACCTTTTTTCAATCATCCCAATAACATTATTAGCTTAGAGAGCCGGGAGACGAACTTTTGCTAACCTAACTTAGGATGCAGACGAAGATAAAATTATGGTCTCTGTATGATTTTGTATCTCTTTGTATAGTATCTCTTGTGGTGAGGTTACACATTGGTACATTAACCTCATTTCAAAATGTAGGTTGTTATCAGCTTAAACCTTGGGACTTTTATTTTCTTATGCCGAATTCGTGTTATTCAGATAAATATTATATCGTTTATTTGATACATGTATAATGATTATTCAAATGGAACAGTGATAAGCTTCCACTAATATTATTGGCCGGCATAATTCTAGATTAGTTACGCTATCTGGTATGAATTAATAGTACTTATATTGTATACTACTACCAACAGTTTTTAGTATTGGAAAATGCATTTTATGCAGCCAAAGACTTGTATGTAATCCATTTTGAAATTTTATGGCCTTACCGATTTTTAAGCGTTTTCTAAGTTTTGGCCCCTAAATAATCAAATTATACAGTACAATATGGTACTTTCCAATTTCTTGATATATCTAAATTTACCACAAGCACTAAAAATGAGACTTGAAACTAATTCGAAGTTAACGTTCGCTTCCAACGGATGCTGATTTGGGAAACTAGGTATAGTTGTTGGTAGTTGTTGGTAGTAATAGTTAGGATTTGCATTGGTTGAATCGCATCGTTCTGTGCTGTTGATTTTACAAACTAGGATTAATAAATATATAGCCCGTTCATAAACATTCCATTGTTAACACTTTTATCATATTATTCCAGAGATGCCCTACAGAAGAAAGATAACGAGAAGACAGATGAAACCTTTCCTGAGGATAAATCCTGACATGTTCACACTAGAATCGCTAATATCATCTCTAATATATGTGATACTTGTAATTTAGTCATTGTATTATTAACAGTATTATTTATAAAAAATTGACACATTATATAATTTGCTATTGATTTTAATTGAGCTTACACCACAAATTGCCATTTTTATCATATGGTGTATAAATGAATATAATATATTTATTACATAGGTGTGAAGTTGAAGCAATACGTGTTCATTCAAGAAAACTTCAATCAGCGAAATCTAGCTAATAACATAATTCCTCTGTAATCAGTCAGTTGTTTAAAAAGTTTAGTTATCAGCCATCGACAACACAACTTCTTGTACTGTTACCCTGGAAGCAACACGACATCTTCCGAAGGAAATGGGTCATATAGGTGAAAGCCTGTTCCCTAATCCATTTCTTATGAATAAAATATTGTTTACAATATTTTGTACTGTTTCCCAGCGTGGAACACAACTTCTGATACTGTTACTCTGGTGGAATCAGATCATCGTGTACTGTTTCCCAACGTGGACCACCACTTCTGATACTGTTACTCTGATAGAAACACATCATTGTGTACTCTTTCCCAACGTGGACCACCACTTCTGATACTGTTACTCTGATAGAAACACATCATTGTGTACTGTTTCCCAACGTGGACCACCACTTCTGATACTGTTACTCTGTTAGAAACACATCATCGTGTACTGTTTCCCAACGTGGACCACTACTTCTGATACTGTTACTCTGATAGCAACACATCATTGTGTACTGTTTCCCAACGTGGACCACCACTTCTGATACTGTTACTCTGATGGAATCACAACATCTTGTACTGTTTCCTAACGTGGACCACCACTTCTGATACTGTTACTCTGATAGAAACACATCATCGTGTACTGTTTCCCAACGTGGACCACCACTTCTGATACTGTTACTCTGATAGCAACACATCATTGTGTACTGTTTCCCAACGTGGACCACCACTTCTGATACTGTTACTCTGATGGAATCACAACATCTTGTACTGTTTCCCAACGTGGACCACCACTTCTGATACTGTTACTCTGATAGAAACACATCATCGTGTACTGTTTCCCAACGTGGACCACCACTTCTGATACTGTTACTCTGATAGAAACACATCATCGGGTACTGTTTCCCAACGTGGAACACCCCTTCTGATACTGTTACTCCGATAGCAACACATCATTGTGTACTGTTTCCCAACGTGGACCACCACTTCTGATACTGTTACTCTGATGGAATCACATCATCTTGTACTGTTTCCCAATGTGGACCACCACTTCTGATACTGTTACTCTGATAGAAACACATCATTGTGTACTGTTTCCCAACGTGGACCACCACTTCTGATACTGTTACTCTGATAGAAACACATCATCGTGTACTGTTTCCCAACGTGGAACACCCCTTCTGATACTGTTACTCTGATAGAAACACATCATCTTGTACTGTTTCCCAACGTGGACCACCACTTCTGATACTGTTACTCTGATAGAAACACATCATTGTGTACTGTTTCCCAACGTGGACCACCACTTCTGATACTGTTACTCTGATAGAAACACATCATCGTGTACTGTTTCCCAACGTGGAACACCCCTTCTGATACTGTTACTCTGATAGAAACACATCATCTTGTACTGTTTCCCAACGTGGACCACCCCTTCTGATACTGTTACTCTGATGGAATCACATCATCCTGTACTGTTTGTAAGCGTGGGGCACCACTCTGGTACTGTTACTCTGATAGCAGCACATGATCGTGTACAACATCTGGTACTGTTTCCCAGTTGGCAACATCTTGTGCTGTTACATATGTAGAAACACAATATCTCGTACTACAACACAAAAAATTTAGTTAATACCATAGATCCACAACCTTAATAGCACGCTATTTAAAATTATAGTAATCGCCGTTATTCTCCAAACCATTTTTGTTGATACTCTAATCTTTAGATTTTGCAGCATGTCCTGTACGGACCATTTTTGGTTTATAGATTAAAAGCAAGAGGATTTTGGGACTTTGTCTACATCTACATTTACATCATGCCCAAAGCATTAAAATGAAACCATTAACATTGGAAAATAGTGGTAATTATTATTTTAATTTTATCAATCTGACCATCTGTCCGGTATTGAAATATAATAATATGAATTATGATTATGAACAAGTGAACAATATAACATATAATTCGAATTTATGAATATATAACGGATATAAAATATATATCATGAATATTTTCCTTAATGTTATTTTACCAGTAATTGGCTATTAGTGAATAACATATCTCAGCGGCAGAATATATTTGAATGTTATTGACGATTGATGGGGTCATAAAAATATTTAGATCATAAGCCTTGAACAAATTCTAATGAAAAGCATTTTAAAATCCTACACTTTAAATCGTTAAAAGAGATCTTGTGCAGATCTCCTTCCTGAGCTGCTATGAAAACATGAAAGAATCTAATCGATTTGATTCGACAAATATAATCCTATTCCCAAGGGTTATTTTTCTGTTTTGATGTGTTACATAATAAGATTCTGTTTTTGCAATCAACAAGCGTAAGAGAGTTTTCTTCTGGCGATATTTCCTCCAAAAGAACTCTGGTGTAGTTAAACTATTTTGAACTAGTAATTTGTTGAACAATAGGGTGAAAGAGTTTCAAATAGTAATAAGCACACTGCAACCAACTGTCGGTATAAATACTCATCAGACAATGTCCACTCGAGAGTTTCTATGTTGCAGTCAGATTACACAATCAGCTGACTTCAGTTTAATTCTATATCACGACTATTTGGTAGTAAACTACAATTAATTCCATTTCTAAACCCTAGAGAAGAAAAATTATATCATACAGTATATTGGTAAAATAATAAAGAAGATAAAAACAAACAATGCCAAGAACAGATGACACATCTACAGGGACTATTTCTTACTAAATCATTTTGTTTCCAAAATAGTTTATCTATCAATGACCAGCTATATAAGTCTTATTCTAAACTAGAGAAAAAAGAATTTAAAACCAGATAAGCATATAATGGAATTATTCTACACAGAGAAAATGGAATTAACAGAAAAACAGCTTTTAGGAGAGAAAGAAAAGAATGAATTATGAAATGAAATAACTTTCATTACATCTTTCGAGTTGAGTTCAGAGCTGTGTTGTTTTCGTTAATTATTTATTCTTTTTATTTTTTTATACCCGCATTTCATTCGGACCGATCTGGACCAGATTGTAGCCGATGCATCAATTATTTAAAACCTACCTTTTGTTATTCTTGCTTTATTCTCGACCAATGGACATTAGTCGGGAGGGAAGTTCCCTCGCTTGATCGAAAGTTTCAAGTGTACGCGTACGAAATGGTGCGGGTGCGGTAAAGACTCGCGGAAGTGACCGATCTATCAGTTGTTCGATCGAAAGATGCCGAAAATTGACTGTGCCGGCTCGAGAGAGAACGCTTTGCACCTTTCTTTTTTTTTCAGAATATTGACGCAGGGGCTGTAGGAGGCCGAAAGTAAACGGTCTTCAGACGATCTTCGAATGCTCTTCGACCAACCAAATTTGCAGTAATCAACCAAGACGACTTTTTCTGTTTGAAATATTTGTAAGAACAATAGCCGTTCACTATTTCAGTAACTATTAACATCGTATTTGCAATTGTCTTTTCTCACTTAAAGCTCAATATCCTAGAGTAAACGTAAAATTCTTATCAATTCCAGTCCACCAACTAGTATACTAGATTGAAATATTGAATCATGTCATAGAGTATAAAGTTGCGAATTTAATCAACCTTGATACGAAGCTAAACTAATTATTAGAAGTAACATGTTAAAGATATCAAAGAAATGCTCATTAGAAATGTTAATTAGAAGTATACTATAATAATATATACATGTGGTATTACAATGACTATGTTATTATTAATTAAAGTCCATTTCCATATGATTGACATTATGATATAAAATAAACTGATAGGATTTCTATGTTACATCGGTAACAGCTTTTAATAACTTATTTCAATTTTACAACAAAAATCCTTCATGTACCGACTTTTATCTGACCATTGATAGCTATTTGTTGGGAATCAGCTGCAGTTACACAGAGAAGATTAAGTTTATAGGCATTTTCTACAATGCTATCAAAATTCTATTCCTGATAAATCGATTTTCATTTTCATTTCTGTAACCACATCTTCAATTATAGATTATCTTTTGTTCAATTATATAAAGAAAGAACCATATTTACAAGGATAACGACTTAGTATAGTTCCACATGCATCATGCATACCATCCTTTTTTGGTGATTATTGCTCTAGTCACAGAACTTTTAACACGAACAACCCACTGCCATAAATATTCCTCACTGCAATAATCTCTTCTTTTAAGATATGCTTGCCATCATCCATATAGACATGTCATAAAACTCAGTTATTTTTATTTTTTTATTTTTTGATGGTCATGGTGGTCTAATAGATTATAAATAAATGAAATCTCTTTCTGTGGAACTAAAACTAATATGGATTTGAGCATGTGAGTCTGTGAATTCATGTTTCTCCGAAACAGTAGCGGCGCCATCCTTCCGAAACTAGGGGTACAAATAAGGGTTAGACTGACACAATGGGGGGGGGGGGGTGTTCAAGAAACTTTTCAAAGATTTGGTGCATTCTGACGCAAAATGCATACAAATCATATTTATCAAATTGTTGAAAATGAAATGGGGGATCAATTGGGGGTGCAAACCATTTTTCTAGGAGGATAAATACCTCACCACTGGCGCCGCCATTGCTCTTATAGACATAGGTAGTAATCACCGTTGTAGTTCATTTTTATTAGTAGACGAAAATTATTGGTATGAGACCGCATCGACTTCAGAAATTGTAGGTTAGTTGAAAGGAGAAGGAAAGTTTATAGAGATTCAGTATTACAGATCATGCCACTATATCACATGATATGTTTGCTTTCTGTCGAGTTTTATCGGTGACATGTAATTAAATGTACGAAACTTAGACGCTTCGAAATTAAATTTTGCTAGTGAGCCTACTAGGCATATTAAAACTAAGTGCTCTGGAGACGAACTGGATTAAATTAAATTGAAATAAAATGAGAGGACGTTAACAATTGTTAACAGAAGTAGTTGTATTCTATAGAAAGTGGAGATAAGATTAGCGGGTCTTTGATTAACAATTGAGTGGAATATAGATAATATTAAATAATAACACATGTATAAAGATAATACTGACTGTAGTATATAAATATAATAAACACTAGGATACACTGCTGTAAAGTTCTAAATGGATTATGTGAATAGAGCTTGATATATTGATCGGTGTGTGTTCAGTTTAGTGTTGCAGTTACTAGCCTGTGGTAACAAGTCTCTTTCTAACTTATTACTAGGATAAAATCTGCATCTCTTTCTTACGGTAAGATATTTTAATTATTTACAGAATCAAAATAATATTAAACTTCTTTTATTTCCCGTTTCTACAAGAAATTCATAGCTCAAAAAGTCTAAACAATTCCGTTAATAAAATGAGAATATGGTCATCTAAAATCAAATTCGGGGTTAGTGGTAATTCGTTGCTTTTAAATTGAGCTTTCCACATAAGTCTATATCTGTAATTGGAAGTGTTTGTTACTTTAAATTGGTTAGCCATTTACAAAGATACCTTTTGGCCCTTGGCATCAAATAGAAGGATATAAGATTATATCAGCATGGAGGTTAATATCCTTTTAGATGTTTGAGACCAGTAACTTTTGACCTATTTCTTTGGTCTTGTAGACGTTCTTAACATATAAAACGATTTATGAATCAAAGGAAATAGATGTTTACCACTTGGACTCCATAAAAAAGGCGATTTTAAAAGCTCAAAATATAACTAGTCCACATTATTTAATCCGAGGTAAAAGTTAGTTTAAACTAATTGTGTATTATAATACCCGCTTAAATCGAGAGAGCTATTACAACGACCGTCTGTTATAAGAGAAATCGAAAACCACCGATCTGATAAAATTACAACATGTATACGCTCTGCTAGGTTTATTTTAATACAAGTAGGTAATTCTTGTCAATTGTAAAATGAGGGTAATGCCATATAATTATAGATATTGTTAGAGTTTTTCATTGTATTTTTGGCTTCTATTCAGCAAAACATTCCTTTATTATATATGAGAATTGTAACTTCACCATTTTCGATGTGGGGATGATGGCACCACAAACTTAAAAAACGTCGCAATTCTCCTGGATAAGGAATATGCTTTTCACTTTTACCAACTAAACACGACAAGTCAGCCTTTTTATGCCTTTAAATGAATGTCATGTGACAGGGAATATCAGAATTTGTTATCAATACATGGTAGAATGATCAAACGTAACAGTTAACGTGTACATGGCTTCAATCATGTACAAGTACACTCAGTTTTTTACAAATGATCTATTTTATAATAGAGCAACATTGTGGATTCTTCTCTGAGAGATCACGCAGCAAATAATGTGAGATTACATTTGATATCTTTATTGTTTTTTTATATAAATCTTGAAGTGTTTTTAAGGTAATGCAACGTTTCAATAATTTGTATTGTGGTTATCAGACCTTTATTGTCACTGTACAAATTAACTCCATGCAACTGAATAGATTGAGATTCCACATTTCTTTTGTATATGCCGTGTAAATCTGTTCCATTTTGGACAGGGGCTCCATTTTTGAACCAAACATACTTTAGTCACAGAAAGGGGAATGTTCTTTAGCTAAGTCAATCAGTAATAGTTTTCACAGCTCACCATCGAAATTTGAGCCTTCAAATCGACGTGTGTCTAGAATTATCTGCGTTTAAATATGAAAATGACGACTTTTAAAGGACTTATTCGATTTTCTAGTACTTCTGAAGACTATTTACATATATTCAAGACTAACACCAACCCCCCAAAATGGCGCACATTGTCCCTTTTAGCATTGTTTCCTCAGTTTTTAAATAGAAAAATGTGAAGTTACAAACTTGTATCAGAAGACTTACATTAGACAAAATGACAAGTTCGAGAAAATCACGCAACGGAAATTAAAATGCATACTAATATAGATTTAGGGGCCTTTGTGACGCATATTTGGGTATTGTTTTTCAGAGAGGGTTAATTGACTCGAGGTTTTCTGAAACATAGTAACAGTCTTCTGATGGATCAGTATGAGTAAGATACTGTTGTGACGTTCTACGAAAATGCTGCTTAAATAATTTAATATTGTAAGTTACTACTAAGGTGGGTTACTAGCAAGCCAATTCTTAAAACAGGCAATAATTGTTAACACCAAATTGACCTCATGCATGCTGACATAACTTTTTGTGGAATTTATATGATAGTAATTTGATTAACGCCATTAGGTTTTGCCTCCAGCATGTTATTGGATTAATTTAATGAACCTGAAAGCTTTTTGTTCAAATCACACTTTATCTTAAACTTGTGTCACTGCATTCTATTCAATTCAAGCTATTTCAGGATATGTGGCTATAGACATTTTTCTGAAACAGTTGTACGTTATATGTCTTAATGGAAACTTTGCTTCGTTTTCAGACGAAATAAAAAGATTTCGTGATAAACGTGTAATTATATGTCTTTCCTGAAATTGTTTGTATTGTTTATTGAAGCATTAAATGGTCTTCAATAAAGAGAAAATAGGGTTTTTCCTCCCTAGACATAATTCTGATAGATGGGTTAGAACGATGAATTAGAAGGAGGTTTTCAATAACAGTCAAGTAATGGAATTAAAAAAGTTTTATATTTAAATTAAATGTTGATTTTCCCGAATGAAAATAATATTGTTTAAGATTGTTTGACCCCATCGGTTTTATTTCATCCAGTATTATTGTTAACCGCCTCACAAAATATATCTATTAAAATTGATTATATCTATGTGTTATGTTTTTCACAGTAGTAGAGTTGTACATGATGCCTTGATTTAAGCTAACTGACATAAACCATTTCTTCAAATAAGATAAGTCTAAAACTTGTATGCTTTACATATGAGAAGTGGGCCACTCTGTTAAAAACTCATCATGACGACATAAACATCTGGGACAATATGTGCTTGCAGATGCTCGGGTCATTCGGATAGAGTCTGTACAAATACATATGGGGGTGCTGGATTGGTGAATTCTGCACGTTCGGGATTCAATAAAACAAATTGGAACAGGGTTCAGAAGGCGTTCCACGTTTGCCGAAAAAATAGCAGCTGAAGACAGAATTAAAAAAATTCCAGAGAAAGAAATAGAAGGGAAAAAATTGAATATGACATTCGGTTTCGTACCGTTCGATTGACGACAGAATTGGAACAGACGGAACCTTTTCGGAACTCACCAATCGAGCGCCCCCTTGAAAAGTGGAGTTTTAAAAGTACTTCAAAGTGCTGTATTTCAAAACTTCAAAAATAAAAATTATAGATGCAAAGAAAAAAACGTTATTTTCCATTGTATTCTTTAAATTTCCTTTGGGCTCAAGTTAAAATATAAGCAGTTGAACAGTAGAGGAAATAACTCGTGGTCTAGTAGAGATGTTGATATCAAGTTAGATTGTAGAAATAGTCATTAAGTAGTCTATGGTGCGTAATAATAGACAATTAAAACTGTTTATTTCACTATAAATAAAGTTAATTGTATGTAATTAAATGATTTTAACTGTTCACAATATATCATTGACATAGTTTTTATTCTACTATTGAAACAATACTGACAACAATGTACGTGATGATAAATCTAGAATCTTCATCACATCTGTGTCTAAGAACAGGTCGTTTTATTAGTCATTAGACTGTGTCAACGAGTTCTCATTTTCATTGGTTACAACTACATTGAACGTTATGTAAAGTTTATCATTGTGCGGCTGTGTTACCATACTTTTAAAAACAACCATATAGTATGTAATATTATTACAATGGAGAAAGTAATGTTTATTTTTGCGGTACAACTGAGGTTCTTGTTGAACAATTGAAAATCAATGCAAAATGCATTTTTACTAGATGAAACCTGTCTATTTAAGAATATTTCATTTACAACTGAAAGTCGATCTGATCATGCAAGATTTAGTACATTGTGTTTGTATATAAGCCACTTTACTATCCGTGCTACGAAATTGATTGATTGACATATTGATACTGGAAGAGTAGGGGCCTGTGGACTGATATTTTTAAACAATTGCTCCCCTCCATTCTGACACCCTACTGTAAGTCAATTTAAAGATGTTTAATCTGTAGTTAATGCTATTTCACTCATAATGTTGGTACATATTTATATCATTTTGTAAAAAAAAACAATGACCATGGGGTACCGTGGACTTAATTTAACCAGTCTCTATGGTAGTTGACCCACTGTGCCGTATTAATCTATACAAAAGCAATTCATGTTCACAATGCGTTAAATAATAATCTGAGTACAGAAATGTTATGTATGAAACTCGTTCTACGTTTTCGACAGTATTTTGGCAACAGCTGGGACTTAATTCGCTGCTTATCGCATTAAAAAAATATTGAATACATTGTTGGCCTTAGTGTCTACAATGTTGGCCTTTTGACTACAAAGTTGGCCTTATTAAAAACAATGTTGGTCTTATTGAATACAATGTTGGTCTTATCGAATACAGTGTTGGTCTTATTGAATACAGTGTTGGTCTTATTGAATACAATGTTGTCCTTATTGACTGTAATGTTGGTCTTATTGAATACAATTTTGGTCTTATTGAATACAATGTCGGTCTTATTGAATACAATGTTGGTCTTATTGAAAACAATGTTGGTCTTATTGAATACAATGTTGGTCTTATTGAATACAATGTTGGTCTAATTGACTACTATGTTGACCTTAGTGACAGCAATGTTAGCCTTTTGACTACAAAAGTGGTCTTATTGAATACAGTGTTGGTCTTGTTGAATACAGTGTTGGTCTTATTGAATACAGTGTTGGTGTTACTGAATACAATGTTGGTCTTATTGAATACAATGTCGGTCTTATTGAATACAATGTTGCCTTATTGAATACAATGTTGGTCTTATTGAATACAATGTTGGTCTAATTGACTACTATGTTGACCTTAGTGACTGCAATATTAGCCTTTTGACTACAAAAGTGGCCTTTTTGAATTCAGTGTTGGCCTTATTGAATACAATGTAGATCTTATTGCACACAATGTTGGTCTTATTGAATACAATGTTGACCTTATTGAATACAATGTCGGTCTTATTGAATACAATATTGGTCTTATTGAATACAATGTTGGTCTTATTGAATACAATGTTGGCCTTATTGAATACAGTGTTGGTCTTGTTGAATACAATGTTGGTCTTATTGAATACAATGTTGGTCTTATTGAATACAATGTAGGCCTTATTGAATACAGTGTTGGTCTTGTTGAATACAGTGTTGGTCTTATTGAATACAGTGTTGGTGTTACTGAATACAATGTTGGTCTTATTGAATACAATGTAGGCCTTATCGAATACAGTGTTGGTCTTATTGAATACAGTGTTGGTCTTATTGAATACAGTGTTGGTCTTACTGAATACAATGTTGGTCTTATTGAATACAGTGTTGGTGTTATTGCATACAATGTTGGTCTTATTGAATACAGTGTTGGTCTTATTGAATACAATGTTGGCCTTATTGAATACAGTGTTGGTCTTATTGCACACAGTGTTGGTCTTATTGAAAGCAATGTCGGCCGTATTGAATACAAATATTGAATGTTTAAATGTTTAAAACAGAAAGACAATAACTTTTTGTAAGCAAAAAAGAAAAAAAAATGTAAAGTGGGCGTAGGTGCCGATTTACATAGCGTATTATGGAAAACATATATCCTAGTCTAAAAGTTCAAACTGAATATTATAGTGTAAAAAACGGACTGTCCTGGAAAAAATGAAATATTTCGAATTAAAATTCAGATGTGACGTCATCCTTTGGTCTTAAGTCGCCCGCACACGGAGAGAAAATGGCGCAGGGTAATTTTTAGTGGGCCAATCGTGGTCGTGTGGAAAATATCGTGTTTGACCATCGGTCCTTGTGTTACGATCATTATTGAACTTATTGGACTGCTTTCGGCCATTAACCTATACATAAAGATTTTATAATGTTGAAAAAAATCAATAAAACTATGTAAAAAATAAAGAAGAATTTTAACACAATTCCTGTAGCTTCTGGATATTGCTCTTTAACATGGAATATGAAAGTAAGTTAAAAGTGTAAATATGAATAACTGAATTATTCTCTCTAGCAAACAGAAAGCCAACCACAAATTAATTATGTTAATAAGTTGTACTTTCGGTTAATTTTCATATCCCCATTGCATATATTATTATTTTCTCACCATTTTTCTACTTTATTGGAAAAGAAAAAACTCATTAATAATATTATCGATTGATATTTATTAATAAATTGGTCGGTTGCCTGTGTACTCTAAACTGTTTCCATACTTTAGTTTAGTCTCAAAAGGGGCAAATTTTCGCATGTGTACCTTATCTTGGAAAACGTTGAGAATAATTTACAAGACAAACTGATGATCAGTTCAATCGATCGATGGAGATGAGATTGGGATTACTTATTTCGAAAATGACAACGTTGTATAGCAGGTGAGACGTTTTCGTAGCTATCTTTTTGTTTTATATACATATTATAAGGGCGGAGCACCCAATTCAAATAAAGTCGATTCGGGTGGACCGAATGTATACCAATCTGTTTTCTAAGTTTCATGTGACTTTCAATGGACGTTGTGGTGACACAAAGCCCATTAAAATTTCCTGTGACATATTCAGAATAAGGCTCCATTTCCTTCAAAATACCAAATGTTGCTTCCAAACTGGCTTATTTCCTTACTCAGTTGTTACCAGAAGTTATCTAGATTATACCTATTTATTGGTGCTGAATGATGTCGTCATGAAATAAGATCTAAAGCATGAATTTTTTTTTATCCGTAAACGGATAATTCAATAGCATGACGTATTTCTTTTAAGTAAATCACATTATAAAAGTAACATAGGGGGTAGGTAGGAACAGTGGTACTATACAGGATATCAGTTTCACTAATTAACTTATATGTATATTGAAAGAAAAATATATATCTCTAATCTACGGTTGTCAATAGAAACTAAGGGTGTTTTGAATCTCTGCTTAGTCTAATGAAAGTCTATATTTTTATAAATTAATATTGTAATGCTAAAGTTTACTAAGTTTAATATATTGTATTTTCTGAAATATATATCTCCAGTAAAAGAAGTAATCCAAAATAGCTTGTAGCAATTAGATTATTGAGTTTTGAATTTAGTTGCTAGTTATCACATAAGCCAGTTGAAGTTGAAGGTAGTACGAAGTCAGTTGGATTGGACGTTGGGTTCAAACAACTTGAATCGAACTGAAACAAATTTTACCATCCAACTGTAACCGAATTTAATAATCATTTTATGAACACTCAGAAAAAAAAGACTCATTTCGCTGAGTAATTGACTTTGTCCATAGAACGACTATCTTGTGACTCTCATATTTGAGATCTAATTGGTAAAAAGCCTGTACTGGACTAGTACCTCAGTATGGGAAACAGAATTTTCTGCTTTTTTTTTTTTGTTCTTCTGAAACACACAACGATCACTTTTTTTAAAATAATTTTTCTGTATGCCTTTCTACTCAGTAATAACGTTAATGGATTCACCATATTACAGATATAACTATAAGAAATACGTCGTCACAAGCGTCCCAAATTATCGAACCCAGTCAAATAGCTTTGAGACAATCTTCTATGTCGATCGTATGTGAATCCAGTGGGACATACATCATAAGACGTTTCAGTCACTAATGAGTCCAGACAAAAGTTGTTGTTACAGATAAGGTATTCGATTAATTCTCTAGTAAATATAGAATAAATAAGACCAAAGTTCGTATCAGATAAAATTAATTTCTTCAAGACTTGCTATTGAAGGATAAATCAGTTAGTTTTCAGCCATTATTATATTTATTGGGCAGATAAAACTGTCTCTTATAAGATAGCTGTTAACTTTAACAAGCCGTTGGCAAATAACTAGTACAGAAATTAGAACCAAGTCTGGAGCAGAAGCTTTATTGTTTGCCTCCAAAACTTGTCTAATTGTTCCAAAGTTATTACTTTTCCTGTCTTAGATAGGTAATATGTGCAATGTTTTCTAGTAATCTTCGAAAACTAAAGTATGTCAGATTACACATTTCTAATAATGATAGCAGAAATTCAACTTCAGCCGTGAAATAGGTTCACAGTGCACATAGTTTGGTAGCCTTGATGATGGTAGATGGAACAGCATTGTATAAATACGTTACCGCTTCTAAACCTTACACATGTGTCGGGGTTCAGATGCGGGGGTATAGAATAGATAGATAGATAGATAGATAGATAGATAGATAGATAGATAGATAGATAGATAGATAGATAGATAGATAGTATAATTAATTACCATAGAGGACAGCATACAATATACATTCATCAATAATACAATGTAAAAAAAAACAAATACACTACACAAATTTCGATATAAGATTGTGGTAAAAAACATTAATATCAACATTAAAAGAACAAAATAAAACGAGACCGTGATAGTTTGAATATACAATAATTAAATACATACATGGATTGTTGAAACATAAAAAATATAAACATTAATTAAGGAGCTAACAAAATACAACATAGGCCTACATACGAACATTTTATTCATATGTTATATTTTAATCGAAGAAAAAATAGCAGTAGACAAGCCAAAAAACATAAAGTGTTCAGAGAGAACTAAGTGAGTAATAATTTATTTTGATAACTTGTGAAGGCAGGTGTCATCCTTACCGTTAATAGTTGATAATTAATCAGGAGTTGCTAGTTAAAATGAAATGAAATGAATGGAGTTTTACGTCCTACGTGGGCTTGTGAAGACGGGCAACGCCATGTAAGGTGCAATGAGGGAAATATTGCCAGGACAGCGACATTAGCCTGCTCTTTTTCGATTTCCAACTGTCGAGGTATATTTGACGTGCACAGCGTGCAGCACACGGAGCCTCGGTTTATTGTCCCATCCGAACGACTAGACGATTTTTCCATGTCAGCCCCTCTTACCTGCATCACTGACAGGGGGAAACCTTCAGGTTAGCGAACAAGCGTCTAATTCGGCTCCTGGAGTTGCTGGTTAAGAGAGGTTAATTTCTTATAGATTAGCCTCTTTGGGACATTATTTTTATGCCGGGTTGCAGTTAAGGGGGTGCCGGTTTATTAAGGATTTCCTTCTATAGATTATGTAATGATTATGTCAGGACGTTTCAAGTATGTTAGTTAAGAGGGGGTGTTGGTTTATTGAGGATCAGATTTGGAGGGGTTTTACTATATCTACCAAGACTGGACAAGGTTTGTTTTTACTCTCATTTGAAAATATATATTATCACACGGTTTATACAATAGATATACATACAAAATAGGTCAGTTGTCTGAAGATCGCAAAGCGTGAAACTCTGAATAACAACATGTTTTTTTAGGTTCTGTTTTAATATTTCTAAATACACTTGACATCGTTAGGCACTTTTTTTTGATTGGATTGTACGCTAGCGAATGCAGCCAAGCAGAGATCTGTATTCGCCTGTATTCACTACCGTGCAATCCTATCAAATCGCTGCTTATTTCTATTTGAAACAAGAAAAGTGCCTAATGATGTCAAGGTATTAGACGGAGTTTGTAATTCTTTGATCTTGTTAAGATGGTCGCGGAGTGGTTTAGGGTTAATTTCTTATATTCCTTAATCTCCAAGACCAAAATATAATTGTAAATACAATGTAAGTCATCCTGTATTAGTCAGTTTTATCTCCTGCTTTAAAATCAAAAAGCCAACATTGTATTGATAAACCTTTAAGAAATAACATTTATGAATAAGATGTTGTGTAGCTGGAGGATGACGAGTAAAAGCTTTTAATCTTGATTTATTGGTTAAATGTGAACTCTAACTTGATTAACCCTTTCCTGGTCGCTTTCTCATCTATTGTCAGTAAAGAATACTGATTAAAAGAGAAGAATCGTTCTGCAACTAATAGCGTTAGGTTTAGAAACAAAATCAGCATTCAGTCAGTTCAATTGAACCTGCTTTTTTGTCAATTATCTAAAAAAAATCTTCTTCCCCACTAATTCCACATCGATAAATCACGTCAGTGTCAAATTTTCAATATTATTCAATTTTTACAATGTAATAATGCATATTTCAATAAAAAAAATATTCTTTGTCAATTTGAAGACAACACACTGGCACGTATTGAGTACACATGCAAATGATTAGTCATGTCAATTTCACTATGTACAATAGTGTCCTTTTAAAATCGTCCGACTCGGGACAGCAAAAGTTAGTTGTCATCAATATTCTTGATGCTTTTGGTAATTCCAATAACGTATCTAAGAAAGAGCAAAATTGCTCCCTTCAACTTAAATATTCAACCCCTAATCCCATATTTTACACACTGTAATTCTCCAACGTCATAATATGTGCAATTGTAACGTAACTAAATATATTTCAATGCTTGATTTTATTATTTTTTTATTTAAATTAATTTTTGATTAAGTAGACAGTATCTTAGTGTAAACGATTCAAAGAAATGTTTCCAATCAAAATATATTTGTAGGGGTCACGTGTTGTTTCGTGATTTGTCACACATCTAATAAGTAATTTTATGGGGGGTTAGGTATCAGTTAATATATCATATTATGTTGATATCAACGTTATGTTTCTAGTGATAATTAAAGACGTGATAAAAATTTGTTTTTATGGAACTAACTATATCATATAAATCTGATGGAATAACAGATAATACGAAGTATGTGATATTACCAGAAAAATACAAATGTTGCTGTCTGCATGTGATTATTAAGAATTGTCTTTTCAAATTATTCCTGCTATACCGAGATCTTGATTCCACGTGACTAATAAATGTTTGTATGTTTGATAATTATTTAGATTATTTTAGAAAATAATTATATTTTTAGATAGAAGATAAAGAAATCTCAATATTTTTAATAGGCATAAAGTAAAAAGCTCCGTGCAAATGATACAAAAAAGATAACCAAAACAACAAGAAATTTGGGTTCGATAGAGAAAATCAGCATACAACAAATCATTTTGAAATTTGTTTTAGAAGCTTCTCAGTTACCTTTTATGGTTCTTGTAATTACCAACAATAAACCTAGTACACAGAAACAAGGAGTTTGATTTTATGCAGATATTATACCCCATAATAATACATCTTTAATTCAGTCATGACTGATGATCAGTTTGACTCTGATCACGGAATTATTTCTCGGACTATCTCATAAAATATGCAGGCTATTAAATAAGATTTTTAACATAATAATATAACGGTTGATTTTACGTGTACGTTTTTTTAGAGATGTTATGCGAAGATAATAAATACGGATTCGTTTATCTCCACATTCTTATTCATATATGAAATATGGGTTTCCATAGTGGGTAAGAACCCTAAGAAGCTTTTTATTCACATTCTCATGTGCGCTCATCAAGGTGGAAAATGAAAAGTTCAAGTTCGAATGCATAACCTAACGTTCTTTGATAATTAGTCCGAAACATCTGCCTCTATTGCAGCCTCTAATAGATATTTTGACAGTAAGTTGCCGACTACTTTCAAAATAGCTTACAGAGGTTAGAATAAAGGCAGATGCTTTGGTCTATGTGATAATCTGATAACTTTTAATAACATTCAAGTAAATCAAAATTTGAAAGGTAGTTTTTAACCAAATGTAAAAAAACCTACAAAAAAAAACACCTATATAATAATGATGAATTGAGGGAATGGGTGACATGATCAATTGAACAGAAATTAGAAGTAAATGGAAAAAAAACATAAAAGCGATTTCAATTTCAGTATACAAATTAAATTTCATGATTAATCATACATACTGCATTGAATTCAAATCTTAAGGGAATCACCGCTCCTTGTTTCTTGGCGACTTTGATTAAATGAATGGCTATATCGATATGTAGGCTGTCAAGTTGCCGAGGATCGCTCAAATATACAATATCGACAAAATAGAGCCGATTAGATTAAAATATCCAGGTCGCTGACTCAGTTACATACTTCGCATCTATTTTCTTAAATCGTTTCGAATGAATTGCCATTGTCATTGTCAATGGGTGTATATTATGTAACCGGAAGTTACAGTGTTACTTGAAGATAAGTCAATAAAATTCAGAAGTAACATCTCTGCTTTAGTCAGTTATTGGGGGAATATTTACTGCAATATTTCACTTTCTTACGGATTCCTCTACGCATCATTGAGATCTTGACTGGCGAGATCTTATCGAGAATTCTTCCGCTTGCTATAACTACCTAGACAAGCTGTTTTCCCGTCGTCCCTATATACATAAGTAACATAAAAGTTACTTATTATCATCGGCGACATATTTAGAATATAGTCTATTACATTTACTAAATCAATCAAAAATTGTTATAGTATTATTATATAGTTTTAAGTATATTATTATTTCGGCTTTGACTGGATTAAAATGTCTCAATAATATTAAACTATACAAAATATGATATCTTGAGACAAAATGATTATGATGAAAATAATTTTAATATGACTTGAAATCAATGAAATAAATCACCGAGGTTTAATTTAAACCACAAACAGCGAATATTATTGATTTATTATCTATCTTCACTAAACTCTAATTGGGTTAATGACTTGTCGAGATCTTGCCCCCTGTGATCTCATTTTATCGATTAAAACCTGTTAAAAAATTATTTGTCTATGTGTATAAAAATAAAGAACCTAAAAGTACTTACGATCCGTAAAACGAAAAAACTCGAAATTCAAAACATCAGTTTGGCAATGCATTGGTAGCAGCTTTGAATTTAAGGATTTATCAATCATAAATTAGCAGGTATTTATTTCATACTGAAAGTGGTGTCTGGAACCAACTATAGCTTCTATTTGTACCATTCTTCATTTCTTGTCCGCCGTCTGTGAATACTGTGATTCCAGGAAACATCCAAATGGAATATATTACATTATATGCTCAAGTGTCTCTGAAATCAAAATCCCTTTTGATTCCTTTGAGGCTTGTAAAAATACAAAACGATTTAAGCATTTGATGTGTTTTGCTTTATCAGAGTAAATCTTCGTAATAGTCGACGATTTCTTTTAATAAGTATTTTCAATTCTTTTGAAATGTCACTGAATAACATGTTTACATTGACACGTAACACTTATATTTTAGATATATTGTAAATATTTATAACTGTAGATCTATTATTTTAAAAACATTCTCAAAGTGGCAATAAAATCTGTACTCCCATCTTCATAATGTCAAGCTTGGTTGGTTGGTTGGTTGATTGGTTGGTCGATGATAATTTAACGTTCGCTTCCAGGGGATGCTGATATCGCAAACTAGGTAGTCTAGTTGTTGGTAGTAGTAGTAGTTGGTAGCTGGATTGGTTCAAGCTATTACGAACTTCGTACTTATACCGAGCGAATTAGCGACTATCCTTATATCACGGAATGCAGCGATATCATGATATTGTACACCAGCGAATACTGTCAATCAGGGCCCTTGGCAGTAAAGCTATAAACATTATGGCTTTGTGTTCACAGACTTTCTGATTAGACCTATGATTGGCTGTATTTGCAATCCAATCAAATCACTTCATTTACAAACTTCCACGATACAAAAAAGGTGACTATTGTATTCAAGGTATAAGTACGACGTTCGTTATACCTTGATATTGTGAAGATGATGTGCTCTTGACTGCATTATCTGGTGAGGCTGACTTATTCTTTTTTTTCCATTTCAGATGTTGTATAAGTGAAGAATGAAGAATGACTATACAACCATATTTGATCCACCTATTAAGAAAGTTGATGTGGTTATCACAATGAAAGAGGCGAAACCCAAAGATAGAGGCGTACTATCTTTGATAGCTGAACTTGGTTCAGAGAGTAGTGCACATGGATTAGCACGGATAGTATCATCGAAACAAACCAAAAGACGCCTTATTTGGACTATCTTAGTGATTATAGGATTAGCAGCAGCTACTGTACAATTCTCAATGTTGGTTAAGAAATATCTCCAGTTTCAAGTAGTGGAAGTGTCGGAAGTAAAAGATAGCATGCCAGTCGAATTCCCCGCTATAACAGTTTGTAATATAGAGCCTATCTCTCTTCGTAAAGTTCGGAAACTTTTATCTCTTCCAAATGCTGATTTGAAAAGGTGGCTAGAGTTTGTGTATCGTTTTAAATTCGGGAAGCAAACTGCTCATTTGACATCAATTCGCGCCTTTTATGAAAATCTCGGTGATGAGGCGGAGTATGTGCGTCACGAACTTAAAGACTTCATAAAGCATTGTCGTTTTAACAAAGATCAATGTGGTTCCTCTAATTTTACCATGTCTTTTGATGGAAATTACTACAGTTGTTTTACATTTAATCGTGGTCATTATGATAAAATTCTCATGCATTCAACTGGACCAGAAAACGGATTATCATTAATCTTAGCTGTAGATAATGATAATCCACCTTTAGGTACTTATGGAGTATATAATATTGATTCCAATATCTTACACAGTGCTGGAGTAAGAGTAGTTGTCCATGCCCCAAATACAATGCCCAGTCCAGTGAATCACGGGATCGACGTGCCCCCGGGATACTCATCCTCTATAGGTCTTAAAGCAGTTTTACATACGCGATTGTCCGAACCTTATGGAAATTGTTCTAATTCTGTCTTAGAAGGTGCTGAAAGCTATAACAATACATTCTTTACGTGTCTTCAAATGTGTAAACAAAGGATCATTATAGAAAAATGTCGGTGCAAATCTTCAGGATTACCAGAAGTTCAATCGTCAGCGAATGTACCGTTCTGTGGCTATATTGAAAATTGGAGAGATATGATCGCTTCACCAAACCAATATCCGCATGATGTGTATTTACCACGACTTATCTGTGAGGAACATGTTAGTCATGAAATGACTACTGATAGAAGTTACGAAGTGTCTTGTAAGTGTGTGCAACCTTGTCACGAAACGACTTTTCAGAAATCTGTCTCGCTGTCATATTGGCCATTAGAATTTTATCAGTTGAATATTCTAGAGTTATTATACAATGGCTCCATCGATCAAAATAGACTTAAAGAAGCTTACACGGTGCTTTCAAATTTAACGAAACAAGAGAGCATGAAACATGAAAGTTCCAAGGAAAAAGAAAACATGGAAGCGGGTTATAGTTCACAAGAGCGCGAAGAAGCCGATAGAGCCTCTAAATTAATTCGTCAAAATCTATTACGGGTGAATATTTATTTGGAAGATTTAAGTGTAGTAGAATTTCGGCAAATGCCTGCATATGACTTGGCGGATTTATTTGCTGATATTGGTGGTACCATGGGACTGTGGATGGGAATTTCAGTCTTAACCATAATGGAATTAGTAGAACTAGTTATTAGACTGATACTATTAATGTTTAGATCTGAAACAAGACAGATGCCAGAAAAACAAACTATCCCTAATGGCATGGTACAACCAGAAAGAAGACAGTTTTTACAAACAGGTTTTGAATCGTCAGTGTGAGAACATGTTGTATATTGTACATATAATTATTTATAATTTGTAGCTTTACTTGAAAAAAATCATCGCCTTTTCGTAAATATTCAGTTGTTTGTATTTGCATAGATCGAATATCACTGGTTATTTAACAACAGAACAGAAATGAGGCAATTTGGAACGAGAAAAACCCTTAAATAACTAACTATACTCAACAATATATTCTGAATCCAGAAGGAACTGTTTGGAAAAATGACATCTAAATCTGATATAAATCATATATGTTCCTTTATAGTCAAACCCATAATCAGTATCACAATATAATGAGGGGGTAATAATATGAATAATACTATAAGTTGATTGCATAATTAAATATATGCATAATACATGATATATAGCCATTTACATTACAATAATATAACAATTACCACCAAATTAACAAAATGATTTTCATAACATTATATATGATTTATAATAAGATAGTACTTGAAGTCATCCTAATAAAGAAGATTTCTTCAAATCATAAAAAAACAAACATATATCCGTTAAGCAAATTGATATCCAAAATACAAGAAAGACCCAAAATAAAAGTTAATAATAAATGAAAATGATGGCGCAAAAAAAAAATACACCACAAAATAGATTCTGTATGATAGTTGAACACAATATTACTTTTTCAGATCTTCAAGAAAGATTCTAATAAATATATTTGTGCAATCGCACTGTATTGATCATTGGTCATAATCTGGAAACAATCAATCCATTATGGTGTTACTTTTTCTGCATCAAAAGAAAACCAACACCTTCAAAACCAATTTTATAATTACACCCTATACTTGGTACATAATGAAATTTACATTCTTACGCTCAGCCATATTTTGGTAATTGCCATGTATTGGTAATTTATCGGAAACAAGTATTTTCAAGATTTAACAACGACAGAAATAAATTTCCCAGTTGTATATTTTTTGTTATAGCTTGATGACTCCACATCTATTGCAATGTTTGATCAATTATCATGTATTTCATACATATACATGTATATACCGGAATGTTGATGATTTAAGAAAATAACAAAATATTTCAATGTTAGGAATGAACAGGATCAACCTTCCACTTCAATTTATATTTTAGAGAATGCCAATGGAAACATATCTATTTTTTCCAGTATAGGTCTAGAATGTATTCCACAAACTTAATTTGGTTGGAACTTGACAAAAAAAAATGTTGTTAGTTCAAGGGAGGTAACTAGTTCTAAATATTCCAATTGATTGTTTCCATGATGTGAAATAAAATACCTTAATACTTGAATAAACCACTAATTCAACATTTTATAGAATACAAAGACAACCATATAAAAATAATATTTTATATAAAATGTATGGAAAATGTAAATCGGATACAAAGAAATATAATATATGTGTATATATATTTGAGAAGAAGAATTGTATATGTGTACATATTGAGCAATATAATATAATATAATCTACAGGTATAAGAACATGATAAAGTGAAGACATAGTTGGACTGGTGAACAAGAATGAATAATATGTAGATCTGAGACATACATATAAATATAGCTATAGCTGTTATTGCTATGCACATATAATACTACTACTACTAATAATAATAATATGTAACCTGTGGGGGCTAATGTTTTGAGGAAACCCACATGTAGATTGGTATCTTTGACAGGCAATATTTTGAGGAAGACATGACTAAAAGAGGAAAGATATTATATTAATGGCAATTCTAAACACGATTATGATGATGATTCTACTGACAGCATCAAAGTACTGGTAATGACAAGATCATAGTAAAGGAAATTTAAGAAATGATCATAGTAATGGTAATTGTAGACAATATCATAGCAATGGTTCGGCTGACAAGATCATAGTAATGGTAATGCTTGTCAAGGTCAAAGGAATGGTCATAGTTACGGTAATGGTTACATTAGACAAGGCCATGGTAATACTAGACAGATTATAGAAATGATAAAACAAAATAACTGGAATAACAGAAACATGGCAAGGAGGGATTAGCACTAAATGGCAAAATGTGGGTAAATGGGCAATGAATGTAAAATTAAGAATAGGAGATTGACCCCTTGTTATGTGGGTCTTGCTGTATATGCCAGCCTGGTTAAAGCATCTTCATATGAATCATATATATCTTAAAATTTCAACAGTCTCTGATTAACAAGCTCTGGGCACACAAAACTATCATTAGGTAAGTCACACTAACTAGCAATACATATTATTTTTAAATATCAACTTTTAACAGTAAAATTTATTATTTACTATTAATGCTTTATCAATACCAATGTAGATAGTGTATACTCATTACTTGGCTGTTCTGAACTCAAAATTTAGGAGATATATGTATATTATATATATAAATCTTATTTCAATTCTAACTTCATATCTTTACAGACTTGTTCTACACACTCTAATAATTTATGCATATCTTGAGGGAACAGATGACCTATATTACCAATTCTAAAACAATCAGTATCTAATACTTTACCAGGGTATATCACCTGATCTGAAATACACAAATTCAAATATCCATTATGTATTTCTAAAATTAATTCAGAATGCTGGGTATTTTAAATAGGTTCTAGTTGAACATTTCTAAAAGAGCTTGTAAAACATAAATTCATCTCTAACCCAAATTATTTAAAGAAAAATCCTAAGAGTATCTTCACTTCAAATGAGTTGAAGGTGGCTTTGATGCCATTTCACAAGGAATGCTGCAAAAATTTCACTGACTGCTTCAGACATATTTTCTGTATAAATAAATGTGATTAAAGTGAATTTGAAGTAGAATAATATGAATGGTATTTTAACTAATAATCAGGATATTTCAAATAAAAATATAACACAATTTAAGTTACCTTTTTCATTCAATCTACTGTAGAATTCTTTAAAATTAAAATTTGGATGTTTAGGAAATAAAAATGATGTTATAATATAGCCAGATATTTTATCATCTAATAATTCTTTAAATCCTAATTTCTTCATTCCATCTTGTACTATTTTTCTATTAGCTTGATATCTGTCATAATAAATTTACACATAAGGTATAACATCAACACTAGTAAAAGTTGAAGGAATTTTTACAATAAAAAACTCATTAACTGTTTATCCCTGTTGAGTCAAGCAAAAACACGAGTTCTTATTGTAATGGACATATGAAAGTCTGATCTCAACAAGTCTACTTTCCTCATTATTCCAGTTTAACCAGATATTTAGTAATCCCATGGGTACAAATGATCCCAGAAATATCAAGACCAAGACGGGCATGGACCAACAAGTGGACAGAATCCTCAAGAACCGAAGTTGATATTCTTGTAAAAATGGATGTGTCTCTCTTTGGTGTCAAACAAAGCATGATTCCTAAAGAATGGTTACCAAACACCAATAGATAACAATAAACAAATATCTAAACACTATACCTCTGAGCACGACCTTCTACTCCACCTTCAGTATGTAGTTCACATAAAGCTTGTCTAAAAGCTAGCATAGCATGTGTGGCTGGTGTAAAGCGAAACTGACCAGTTTTGTCCAAATTATCACACTGATCAACTAAATCTAAACTTAAACTTCTAGAATTACCTGAATAACACATTAAGATTTTAGTACAATAACAAACATTTCATATATTACAACAGAACCTGAAACATGTTTATCAGAGTAAAAACATGTTGTAGCTTTTTTTATAAGTATCTATACAACATGGATCAAGCTCACTTGCAAACTGAAGACTCAAATAAAGATTTGATATAGGATATTTTCCAAACAAACTTAAAATTGAAAAATATCTAAGCTTTATAAACGATTTTTAAATTACCTTTACAAGCAAACAATTTCTGTCTTTTGGCTATGGCAAATGAGAAACCGGGGGTACCCTGTATACATTTATTAGCTGAACTAACTAAATAATCTACATGTGATTTATACAGATCTAATGGTACTGCTCCAAAACTACTCATACCATCCACAAAATAACTTGTCTCTAGAACATTATATAATGGATCACAGTTATATTTTTATAGAACATGTTGAATATTGGAATAATATACATGTACTATTACAATCAGCAGGATTCATACAGCACTTAGCCTAAAAAATTCAAAGACTTTTCAAGGACTTTTCAAGGATATTAGTCTGACAGAATACAGATGTACCTTACTTCTGAACTGTGAAATCAATAAAGATAGTTAATATTTGTCAATGGGGTTAATGATAAAAATATACACAATTTGACTCAACTCAAAATTCAAGGACTTTTCAAGAGAAAATGAGTTTTTTATGGTGTTTTCAAAGACTTTTAAGGAAATCAAGGTTTTTCAAGGCAACGGACGGAATTCAAGTGTTTTTCAAGGCTGTGCGAACCCTGATCAGTCAGCATATCTCTTTTGTACTGGTAAAAATGCAGTGGATCTTAATGTTATCATCCATGTTATTGTTTTATTGTGAGTTTCGGTTGTATTGTCGAAGGAGAAGAATGGAAAACAGGCCTATCAGAGGGAGGATCTGATCATAATGCTCATTGTTACTGTATTTTTAAAAATATTATTATCATTATATTTGATTAGATCAGTTTCTTTCATTATTTTACAAAAAAAAAAAATTGTAAAGATATATTATACAATCATATTATTTTATACATTTCCTCCAGCTCTACTGATTCATTTAAGAAGTTTGTAATTAAAGTATAAACTCACTTGGACTTAACTGATTCACCAATTTTCCTACTTGTTCTACTGGATTAAATACACCTGAACTGGTTTCACAGTGGACAATACAAATAAGATTAAAAGAGTTGTCTTTCTTTAATATTTCTTCAATACGAGACACATTCACTGCCTCATTTTCAGGAAAACTTTCTAATTGATATGGTATTGATAATGTTTCACAAATTTTTCCCATTCTTTTACCATAGGCACCGTTTTCAAGAACCAACACCTAAAAAGGAATGATTTACATGTGATATCTTCAGTAATTTTCAAGAACATATGCTAAATCGTTTATATTTCAGATCACTAAATCATAAAGTTTTTCTGCACATTAACTGATTTAAATTAGGATATTGATAGTGCCTTTTTTTTTTAAATCAGATTCAAAGTTTCCATTAATTATTGGCAAAAACATAACACTATACCTTCCCATTCTGTCTAGGTACAGTAGTTTGAATAACTGCCTCAACAGCAAATGTTCCACTTCCTTGAACTGGTACTGTTGTATAATCATCAGTAGATACACCTGAATATAACCAACTTAATATTCAATGCAGTTAAAAATTTAGAGATATATAATATTATATCAAGTTTGCAGGCAATTAATCAACAAATTTCATGTCAGAGTGTATTGAACCAGGTTTTTTCACTGGCTTGCTTTAAGATATTGTTTCCAGTGTAATCCAAATTCCAGTACAGCTCACAAATTTTAAGTTATTAATATTTTAAATACAATATTAGAGATATAGAAAATAAACTGCTAGTGGCACTGAATGTACCATATGTAATATGCAGCCAATAGAGAAACATATTATGTTATTGTAAAAGTGGGTCAGTGAGGTTAAATATGACATATTTAAACAGGGCCAGAAAAATAAATATTGTCATATCTATATCAATTTACTAGAACAAACATTGAACTGGGTGCATGTACAATATGTAACTGGCTCTTATTTTATACATATTTCCTTTCTTTATAGCTGTACCTTTTCAGCCACACAATTAATTGCACCCTATGGCTTACAATCTTTAGCAAAAACTGAAAACCGTAAGTTCAGATGCAGTTGGTTTTAGTAAACTTATAAGCTTATGTTAGAGTCTATTAATTGATACCAATATCAATCTGTAAAATTATAGATCATTTTCAACAATATTCAAAATGATTGGCTTAATGCATGTCGATTGCAGGAATTCATATTCACTAACCTGCTAACTTGAGCAACTCTTGTCTGATAAAACTAACTGTTTCTACAAATTGAACATCTCTAGAACCAACATCTCTTAGCATGGCCTCTTTAACAGTTAATGATGTTCCCAGTGGACCTGGTGTAAACAGTTTTTTATCCTCTAAAACACATAAAAAGACATTCTTTACAATGATACAAACACACATGTCCACAACATAACTTCGTAATTACCATGAACATGACATACAATGGCTAAACTATACTTGATGTCTGATTGAGGCTTGTGATCCTAGTAATTTGAGCTGCCCTGTGTGTGTGTCGGTGTGGGTAAAGAGCCAAATCATTGGCCTTGAAGGAAGATAGTGCTAATGATGTCATAATCTGGTCATGTTTTCCTGTAATTCAAGGATGCCCAGATATCAAAACAAATAGGTCCCTCATACTCTAACCAGATCAATATTTCAAACCATTTTTACAAAAAATATTATAGTTTTGTTTTGTCATTTGAAGAAGAAAAAAATCATAAAATTAAAAGTCAACCTTTCAGGTTTCCAGTTGCCATTTCTCGTTTCTGGTGATCTCTATGTATAAAACTGGATAATTGTTTGTTTGAAAGGTCTTTGGATTGTTTAGGTTTGACACAAACTGTATTGGCTTTTCTAGATAGTATTGTGAATGTACTGACAAAAGGCTTAAAGGTTCTCTTGAACATTTTAACTTTTAACAAATTCAACCAAACCTGTAAAAAAGTGAAAAATTTTCTTAGATGTCTGTGTCTGATTGGTTTAACAATATATTGGTTGAACAATAAGTTGACTTTATTGCAATGATTTCAAGTCTGTTAGATACTAAGCCTTTATGAACTTTTATGCCACTGGCCAACAGTGAATATTGATTTTCTTTAAGTTACTGAATATATATACTTGGTATATTTGACCATAAAACACAAACCAATAACGGTAGCATATTTTCTTTCTGATGTGTTAAAAGAAATATCCCCTTCTGTCAAGACATCAAAAGGGTCTTTCTGTAGGAAAACAGAATCAATATAATTAGGCCTACTTAAAAATGACAAATCTGTCATTGATTAACCAGTAGGCCTACAGTACTCTAACTTTTACAGTATTTATTGATCTGTGACCTAACTGCAAAAGTTGATCAATTTCATTTAAGAAGTTATGCAACAGTGAACAGATACAAAATTGAAATACTAGTCTCTGATCAAAGTGAGCTCTGTTTAAGACTAGCAGCTAGTGAGTATAGCAGAGAGTATAGGTCTACTCATACTGTCAGTATTAAAATTAGTTCCATTGCACTAGGCCTACTCATTCTCAACAACGTCAGTAGATTTTTTTTGTAGAAATATTGTTAAAATTTAATAATATTAAAAGAATAGATCTACTCTTTCAAATTGCATAAATGCCTAATCCTAATGCAACAATGGCAATGCTGCTCAACCAGTCATAGAATTTAAATAACATAGTTACCTTTATGAATCAATTTGTAGGAAATCGTAAAGAAAAGTGCGACTGACTGACAAAAGCTTTAATTACACACATGTGCTCAATCAATATGAATATTTATAAAAATTTTCATGAATTGATTGACAGAAGAAACAGAAAAACGTGTAACAAAACTGTCTGCTTGTGTACAGGTATACCGTACAATTTTAGGATTCTGCGTAAAATGATACATTTTACGAAAGACTTGTGTCTCATAACACATTAGATTTATATCAAGTGAATAATTATTTGTAATCGTAAGAATACACACAATTTTTCATGAATATTCTTCATGTGATTAAAATATCGGTCCGGATATACATATAGAAGCTTTCTTTTGTACGACACCCGGAACAGGAAATTGTGTATGTTTTGCTCAGCATGACTTTGCACAGATGAAAATTGTTTGAAAGAAACCATCAAGTAATATTCTATAAGCGATTATTCACAAGCTTGAGTAGTTAGACAAGACTATCAACAATGAGTTCTATAGGGACAGGGGTAAGTGACCTTTTAAAATGGTTTAAAACGCTGGTTGTCGAGTTTTTATTCTGCAAATTACTACTGTTAAACCAGTCCACACCTTTCTGGTCTTTCTTCATAACATTAAATTAATAATCTGATGATCTGACTTCTCTTTTTGATCAGAATTATTGTTATATTATTATATAATGGTTGTGGTCTTAGTTGCTTTTATTTCACTTGGGTATGACATTCATTTTTCTTTGTTGTGTAAGCTTATTGTCAAAATTTTATGTCACTTTCAATGTTTATTATTTCAGTATGATTTATCGGCATCACAATTTTCACCTGATGGTAGAGTGTTTCAAGTCGAATATGCACAGAAAGCAGTTGAAAATAGTGGGTAGGTAGATCAAAATTTAGGCAAAGTTTATTTTTTCCCTGTGTGAACATGATGATAATTTAGAAGAATGATAGTGCTCGTATAGCTAGATTTTTTTTTTATGGGTGGATTTTTTTACACCGTGAATGCAATGTTGAATACATGGAATGAATTTTTTTATTATTGAATATATTATTTATGTTTGCAGAACTGCAATTGGTATACGAGGGAAAGATGGCGTAGTATTTGGTGTGGAAAAGCTGGTGACATCTAAGTTATATGAGGCTGGAGCAAATAAAAGAATTTTTAATATTGATAGACATTTAGGGGCTGTAAGTCAAAAGATTATTATCAATAGGGATTTAAAGGGATTTAATTTACTATTTATTGTAAGATGAAAATTTCTGTCTTGTATATGTATGTTTGATATAATATGACTATTCACATTACAGGTTTTCTAAAAAATTTTTATGTGTATCAGGGACACTGATAGCATCAATATTTTACAACATTCAAATATTTATTCAGACAGCTTTGGTTCTGAAATTTCACTAAACTAAGTGTTTGATCACTAATTGCAAAATATGCTTTATCACATAATGGCCCTTCAGGATGGTTGATGATGCCACTATTTGAAAAATATGCTTAATAAGGTGATTAATCTCTTTAAGGAATACCAGACAGAAACACAGGATATGTACTATTTTTTACCACACTTTTTGTTATCTTTAGGCTACAGCTGGGTTATTAGCAGATTCTAGACATATGGTGGAAAGAGCTAGAGAAGAAGCTTCCAATTACAGATCTAATTATGGTTCAGATATTCCAATCAGAGTAAGATGTCTTTGTGATATAAAGTGTTTTGTGTTTACTTAGTAAAAGTCAATGATTCAAATAAATTATTGATATATGCTTGTTAACATATTGGTGCCGGTATTTAATTTTTACAAGAGCTTAGACCATCATTTTTATACGCCCACATGAAATGGGTGGCATATATTATGGTCACCCATGTCCGTCTGTCCGCAATTGCTCGTAAACACTCTAGATGGTCCAATTCTTGACAGATTTTGACGAAACTTGGTAATATACAGTAAAATATTATAAAAAAGTTCAAGAGAAGTGTAAGACTTAAGGTGGAATATTTCATACTGGTAATTGCTACTGTGCTGCCAAATACTTAAACTATTTGAAATTAGAGCTGCCAGTGTGCATATGTTACCTTGTCTGGCAAGCTATCTTTCAAAAGTCCAATGCCCAATGAAAATCATTGATTCAAATGAAGTATAGATACATTACAGTCTAATGAGTTGTTATAACTCCCGAAACGATCTTAAAAACATAACAACATGGCATATTTATGCAGAGTTTAAGACATTTTCCTAATTTTAAACTTTTTCACATTTCAGCATTTAGTGGAGAGAGTATCAATGTATGTACATGCTCATACACTATACAGTTCATTACGACCATTTGGTGTTGGTATGATAGTATCTTCCTATGTTGATAATAAACCAGAATTATATTTAATAGATCCTTCAGGTGTATCATGGGTTAGTATTATTTATTTTCTTTAGCCCAAGCAGTTAGAGGCTATAGTATGTTGATGTCATTTAAGATATGATAGAAACAGGTTATTCTTTTTAATAAATGTTTCAGTCGGCTTTTCTGCTTATTATTAAGGTAGTAGAGAAAGTCAATTGTGAGGATATTCTTTTGCAATTTTCTTCAGAATAATTTGAATTTTTCTATCCAGGGCTATAATGGATGTGCCGCTGGAAAAGCCAAACAGAATGCTAAAACTGAAATAGAAAAGTTAAAGGTGAGTCAACAAAGTTTTTTAACTATTTGTCAGAAAAGATGTCTACAATAATAGTCTAAATTGTTAGTCAAATGACTCCAATTCTTACAATATTTTATAATGTCTTGCCTACAGACAAAGTAGCTTATATTTTCACCCATGGGTTAATAATTCATTTGTTTTGTACTAAACACGTGGCCATGTAAAGGATACCTTTATAAACTTTTCTCTTTTCCAATGTGTAGTCTTAATGCTGAACAAATAGTTTTTAACGAACACCTACGTTTTATTATGAAGTATCAAGCAGTTTCACTATCATTGTATTATAGATAGAAATATATATTTATAAATCAGATATACTTCCATGGAAATATATTTCAGATGAAGGATATGACTATAAGAGAATTAGTAAAAGAAGTAGCTAAAATGTAAGCATTGTATAAATTTAAATACAATTATTTTGTTATAGGGATGTAAACCATCCTAAGACAAAATTTAGTTTTTTACACCTACAGGTATGCCGCCATTAGAGGGAGTTGATTTGAGTCTTGAATATATAAATAATATGTAAATAGTCTTAAGAAGTACTCAAAATGTACGAATATCATAATTCCTTTTTATTCTTTTTAACTTTCAATAATTCTGGACACACATAGTTTTGAAGACTCAAATTTTGACAGTGAGCTGTGAAATTTCTGTTTCTGAGACTAAGGTTTGATTTGAGCAAAAAAATGGAGCATTTGTCTCCTTTAAAGTTTGACCACTCATCGTCAAACAGTATTACAGTGAATTACAGAACAGATTTCCAAATGTATATACCAAACGACTTGTAATTGACTATAAGCGCAATAAAAACCTTAGTAATTTTCTGGTCCGTGGTAGACTCGATCCCATTGAATCCAATAATACCTGACCCCCCCTCTCTATTTTCTAGCTCATTAAGTATAATATATTCTAATCCTTATGTATAGATGTTTATCTTTTCAGAACCTATTCATACTCTTTTCTTTTAGAACTGGTAACAAGAAAACTTTCATATTATAGACTTTTGTTTATTGTAGATTACTCGTGGTTGTTTTTTTAACTTAATACTAACTATGCTAACTTCACTTTATCTTGTATTGAACATTTATCTCTTTATTTGTGACCTTGGCCAGTGCTTTACATAGTTTTTAGGAACTTCTTCACTCTTAACACTAAGTATATATTTAAGTTTATATATAAAATTATTACTGGATTTTCTAATTATGTTATGTTTACATTACAGTATTTATGTTGTACATGATGAAGTAAAGGATAAAGCTTTTGAATTGGAATTAAGTTGGGTTGGAGAGAGTGAGTAACTTTATCTCATTTGGTGTCAATCAATTTTCTTTCCAGTTTCCAGACATCTTAGCTTATCCATAGAATCTTGTCTTTGAACCCCCTATATCGAATACAATACCATGTCCTCTTTTCTCAATTAAAATACCATGTCCACTTATCTCATATACAATGCTTGTCCTCCTCTCTCAATTATAATACCATGTGCTCTTGTCTTATATACAATATCATGTGCTCTTGTCTTATGTACAATACCATGTGCTCTTGTCTTATATACAATACCATGTGCTCTCGTCTAGTAATTAACATTTGAAAGAGAAAAATGTATGTCCTTTGTCTATTTAAACAGTACTGATAATTCATAGTGACTAGTGAGATAGCTTTTAAAAGCTTTACAACTTTAAGAGAAGTTGAGGGACACATTTCTCTACATTTTGGTGGTTTCTTTCATGAAAGTCGTTTTAAGATTATCATTACTCCTTGAAGCTGATATTCCAATTCAAGAAATATTGGTAAAAAATTCGATATTCCAACAATAAAAGGGACTACACATCTTTTGAATCTTTGAAAGTGATTATGTTTGATATTTATTGAATGTTTATATTTTTTTATCCAGTAACTGGTGGAAAACATCAACTTGTACCTAAAGATGTCTTTATAGAGGCTGAGAAATATGCTAAGGTTTGTATTTATGTAATTCAATCAATATGTCTTAATTGCAAAGTGTGTAAAGAGATGCTAGTACACAGAAAATTTCATTAGAAAATCAATCAAATGCATTTAAGCTATGTAATTTGCGTGTTTTTTGTATCAATTTATTGTTCAAAAATGAAATAAAAGCAGTTCTTTTTAACCAATCTTATTAAAATTAAGTTAAAATTTTGTCGATTTTATTTCTGATATTTTTCAATTCCTTTGTAATCTAACCAGTTCAAATGACTTTATTTTAAATCAAGCAAATTGATCATGTAGAAGCTGTTTCTGGATAGCGTAACAAATCATGGGATAGTAAAACCCAAAGTGACAGCCTCTTTGGGTTTAGAAATGAAATGAATGGAGTTTTACGTCCTACTCTTCTGTACCTTGTGGGCTAATGAAGACGGGCAATGCCATGCAGGGTGCCATGAGGGAAATTTTGCCAGGACAGCGGCATTAGCCTGCTCTTTTCTTTGGGTTTAGCCATCCCTCAATTTGTTATGTTATCAAAAACAAGTTCTACATGGCAGGCTATGATTGGTTAAAAAATAATGCCCTTAAAATGAGAATATAGGTTTCCCCTCATAAGCTAAGTTTCTTATATATTTTCAGGATTCTTTAGAAGAATCAGATGATTCCGAGGAAGAAGAAATATAAGAGAATAGTAAAATTCATTATATCATTCATTTAGAGACAATCACTTTTATCAGATTCAGTGCTATGATTATCAATAACTTCTCATGAAGTCAACGCGTTATGGACAAAAACATTGAATATTACACAACTATCATCATCATTGTCATCGTTAATATTGTGCAACAATTTCACTTGGATTAAATTGTTTTCTTGAATAATTTTTTTATTTACTAATTTTCCCTTTATTTCTAAGTAATATTTTTTTGGGTTCTTGTAACATTGAATATAGAAAGGCAGAGACTGCGTAGTATAATTTAATTTGTAATAGATTAAGCAACTTGAAATATACAAGACAAATAATGTGGACTACAGGACTTTCATGTTTTGAGTCATAAATTTTTCTCATATCTTTGCATCTTTTCTCATAAACTACACACCGTTGACTTATGGTAGCTAGAGCTCATTACAAATTTATTACATCTGTAAACTATTAAACTAAATGTTGCCTATCTAAAAACAGAAATCCTGATCACATGTAACAAAATTGGCAAGTTTTGTATAAACGAAAGGTGCCCTTACACCATAGACGTGGTCAGTGTTCAATATTTCCGAATGCAACTCATAACTCACAAGAATTGCGTTAGAAACTTATGAATGCTAACATTGAAGCACGTTGGTAAACATCATAGAGGAGAGGGTATAAAATATGTATTTTCGACATATTATGCCATCATACACGGGTCATACTATCATTGAACCTAATACGTCCAACTTATCTAAAGAGTTATATTGACGTCTTCTGAACAACCATAAAACTACTCTTCTACTTCACTTGAACAGAAACTGCGTTATATGCAAAATGTTGATATTCAAATTCTTGCGTGCACTCTACAAATTATGTACTAAAATCATTAACGATACACATGTACATATGAGGATGTTAATAGCGCTATATTAAAGTCCCCAACCCACTATAGTTAGTAACGTTGCATTGGGTGGATCCGTATGATCCACAAGGAGAGCGTTAACGCATCGAATCCTTAAAAAAAAACAGCTCCTTTAACTGTCAAATGACCTTCATAAAGATTTTAGTTAGTAGATATTGTAGATTTCACGAGGTAGAGATCAACTGAGATAGAATCTACTGAGCAGGGCCAAAAATGACTAATTAACCAACAGTATATGGCAAAAATGAACCTAAGGTGATATAGTTTCTCATTTCACCAACTTCATGCCAAAGTTTGGCATGATCGTCTATCTTACATATCATTTTCATCCATAGTTGTTATTAAATAAAATGGGGGTACATTGTTCCTTACGGAGTTATTCCTTTCAAATTGAATTATTAGATGTTTTAAAAACCGATGTTTGTGCATGTTTCATTTCTTAACAAACCACATTTCCATTCTGGCGGGAACAGTGTTTTGAAGATCGTTTGTCCAGAAAACTTCATATTCAGTTTCTTTAAGCATGTCCGTTGGGTTCAACAGTTCTCCATTAGGATTGCACGGTCCACAGTCATTAAACCACCATCCACTTCCTCTAATCATAGCACAATTTGACGTACTGTTGTCATTATCCTGGTCGAATGCACTGAATGCCATACCCTTTGAGTCTGTTAAACTGTCACCGAGAGGAGACGTTGAATGGGGCTTGGCATTACTAAAATTTAATCTGTATAAGTTACTTTCATTTTCAATTTGAAAATCATTGAAGTAATGTTGGTAGAAACTATCATTTTTCAATTTCATGTTAACAATCATTTGATATGTTCCGTTGTTGATAATCATGTGCATTTTCTGTAGGCCTAACCAATGATTAGAAGTTAAAGATCCAAATCCATCTCTGTATTCTACCCAAGTTTTATTGAATTTAAAGGATGGTGACCGATGAACCTGAAATAGTGTCCTTCCACCATTTTGCATTTTACAGTAAACTTGGAATGGATCTGCCGATGCGAAAGGTTGAATATTGTATACTTTACTAGTAGTATAATTATGTGATGACTTCCAACCTTCTGTACAATCTGGAAAATAAACAAATCTGTTTAATTGAATGCGGAAGTAGGAATATTTTGGTCTTCATCATTTTATAAGATATGTATGAACTCTAATTATATAGGAATAGTATTCACGACTCACTGTCGGACTTTGAGCCTTCAAATTCACGTGTTCCCACAATATTATCCGCATTTAAAAGCTAAAAAGTCTTTCCTTGAGACACTGCCATATTATATAGAAAGACATGTATAGAAATAGGAAACGAAATTTCCAGTTTGAGATATGTTTGAAGGAATTATGCGATAATCATACATTTCTATAGTACTTCTTAAGACTATTTACATATAGGCTATTCAAGACTCAAATCAAGTCCTGAAATGGTGCCTCTGTCCCTTTAATATTTTGTAGCCTACCCAAATCATTCGCTTTAACATTATGGCATTCATTTCTTTGGGATGGTTAATAACTTCATAGAGTGGGCTAATCTTTGTTGAATCGATTCATTTTCTTGTTACTTTACCGAAAACGGTCCGACAATAAACATTTAAGTTACCATATATGATTCAAAATGTACATGAATAACCATGAACTGCCATTTTAAGAAGCTTGGCATTATATAATAAACTGAGAACATACCAATCATTAGTCTTTCACAAGTATCTCCAACATAACCATTGATACATCTACAACCAGATGATATCATATATCCGCCATTTTGACATAATATATTCTGTTGGAAAATAGAAACAAGGCATATTTTTTATAATTCTATTGCCTATGGTGTTCTTAGCCATATTTAATACGCTTCTGGCTACAGAAACTGCCATTATCACCAACACCATCCGCTAGCAATGGACACATGGATAGCCTATTTCCGCACTGACCATTGAAAAGTCGAGCACGATAGTAACTTTTAAAGCTGTGTAGGCCTTACAGTCTAACGTAGCTGAAATTCGTAAATTTACATTTCACACACTACAAAATCTACAATAAGCTGTTCAAACCCAGTATTAATCTGATCTGTTATTTTTAAGTGATCGGTAGACTTAAGAGAAGTAGACATGACCAAGACTTTTCAAAATGGCATGAAAAATGTCATTTCTATTGACCTCGTCAAATAAGTTTCGTGTAGATAGAGAAATATCATTATGTTCATGAGGCTAACATCAGCAACTAATTCAAACTCGTCCAAGACTCATTAATCCATATTAGTAAATCCTGTTTCTGCCGAATCAGAAGAAAACTTCATTCATTCTTGCTGATTTTGACGAGAAAGCTCAAAACAGTTCTCAAATTCGAACTCGTCCGAGACAATATCAATTATTTGTCAAATTTGACGCAAAGTCTTAGCTAAGTTAAGGACCAGAACTGAACCGTTCATCGAATCTATTCGAACTCGTTCAGGATTTGTTTACATTTGCAAGTTTGCAAAATTGAATGGCAAATCCATCTTTTATGAGCTAACAAGAATTGACAAGGACTAAACGAAAATGTCATTTATACGCCCAGATGAAATGACGTATATTGGCTTCACCCATGTTGTTGGATTTTGACAAAACTTGGAAATTGTTCAGTAGCACCAACAAAAAATGCAAAAGAAGTGTATATGACTGAAGCCAAATAATTTTTATTCAATATCCAAACTACCATTGGGAGTATATTACCTTGCCTGGCATCTTGATAATGAATGAATAAAATAATGAACCCACCTTTTGGTAATATCTAAGAGTTGAATTGGTAATTTGATTAGAAGAGCAATCTTTAATATCATTGAGATAGCATATTCCCCCACCATACTGAACAGATTGGCACAAGTTATCACCTTCACAAAGTACCACACAATGTAAGCGACTTTTCGCAGTTAAATATTTGAAGTCGGAAATTGGGTCCATTCCATCACAATTCGGTGTATGGGTAAATGTGCTACCCATAACCACATTATGACAAACAATGAAAGAAAACAGAACGAAGAATCCCTGTCGCATAATGAAACTTGTAAAGAATTTAGAAGAATCACAGTACATCGCGTTTGTTCCATATCGTATCGATCTGAGGAAAAATAAATCGAACATCACAAATGTATATTTAGAATATTTCAGGAAGTTTTCTTAGATCATTCGTATATTGACTATCATTTTCAGTCATAGGCTTATACTATCAATATGGTGATATCAGCCAACGGTTTGATTAAGTTTGCAATTGATTAGCCGATATTTTCAAGGAATGAAAGGACTCTATTATTTTTAACTGGAAAAAGGTTTGAAAACAGACGATTTGAATACATCCAATTTAGTTTGAATCCCTGCACTTTATCGATTTTAAGAGCTATATAGGCCTATTGTTAAAATATTGAATCGATGTCTTTATCGTCATTGATATGATTGATTTGAAAATTTCTTTGATTCATTCGGATTTCCTGTCTGATGTCTGTTGTTTCTGAATTTGAGAACAATTTTACCACATTTCTACGTCATTCAAGCCGAAAGCTACCGCGTTACCGCCGCTTATTTACCATTCAAGCCAAATGATGATATTTACGTTGGTGACAACAAATGCCAGACGTCAGTAATAGAACTCACAGCTCTTCATCGAAATTATAATAGAGCGTTCAAATCCATGTGTCCAACAATAACCGCGTTTAGAAGTTAAAAAGATAGTGGACCACAGCCATATACGCCCATCAAGGCATGCGGATGGTAAATATTCAAGATTTTGGGGCAAGGGCAATAACTCTGCTTCTAACGGTCAAAAATAGCTCAAATTCGAACTTGATCTTCGTTTTATAAATATGTATATACATACCGAATTTCATTTGATTCCATCAAAAAATCTAGTTTTTAGAGCGTTTACAAGCAAATGTTGACGGACAGACGGACCGACAGACAGACCGAAAGCTAGTTTTTCGGGCAAGGCATTAAAAAAATTTTTTTTTGAACGGCCCGATTTTTTTGGGAATTTAAAAATGAAATCATATCTTTGCCCGAATATCCTATAACTGTATTTTTTTAAATTGATAGCCCGATTGTATTCTCCTATAATAATATTTCATAATTCATATTATTTAAGGATCGAAATCACTGCCCAAATGTCATTCGTATGATTATATTTTACATATTTCAAAAATTGAAATCGAGTTTAGAACTTTTTTTTACACAAACAAAAAAAGGCAATTCGGGCACAGATTTCAATTTTTTTCAATGAATATTGTATGACAAAGTACTCTGCCAATAACAATAGTGTTTCTCTCGAAGAGTGTGCAAAACTCTCTTAACTAAGGTAGAAATTCAGGCAATCTCAGATATCTCGCCCCTTTGGGTCTCGTAACCACACTCTAGAAGACGCAATTCTTGACGAATTTTGATTAAACTTGGTGTGAGTGTTTGTTATCACCCAAGGATAAACTCTATTTAAAATCAAAAAGATCAAAAAATAATTAGTATGAGTTACTACCCTTGTTTTTGAAAATGCGTTCAATTTTTTTTTAGCACGTAAACACTCTAGAAGGCATAATTCTTGATGGATTTTGATGAATCTTGGTGAGAGTGTATATGTAATCACCCAAAGATGAACCCTAACAAAATCAGAAAAATCGGAAAAAGTTATTGCCCCTGTTCTTAACTACGCGTTCAAGTTTTAGCCTGTAAACATTCTAAAAGGCCAATTTCTTGACAGATTTTGATGAAACTTGGTAATAATATTATTCAGTATCGCCACAAAAAGTTCAAAAGAAGTGTAGCCTATGTCTAAAGGTTGAGTATTTCATACTGGTAATTGTTACTGTAGGTCCATTGCCATTGGTCGGGACTCAAAGGGGCTAAAAATAAATTACTACATGTACTACTACTACTACCAAATATTTTTATTAAAAATCAAAGCTGCCAGTGGGCGCATATATTACCTTGCCTGACAAGCTATATTATCGTCTGCAAGACAGAAAGTCGTCATCCGATCAGATTCCTTTTCCTTCAAATTACATGCTCCGCACGTGACTATCGACAAAGTTGGAAAACGACCGTCTGGAGATTTTTGTCTCCTGTTCTGCCTAAGCCAGTCGTTGAAACTCAAGACAAGACTCTATTCGGCAACAAAAGCCTCCGACAAAGACCGCTCGACAAAGACCGCTCGTGTTAACTGGTTAATAAGATCTGAATCTGTATTTAATCCGATAAAAAAAACCTTTCAAAGGAAGATAAACTCTTGTCTGTTCAATAAATAACCGATTTACACCAAATACCCCCTTAAGGATCAGTAGGTATGGATTTAGCCATTATTGAAGGGATGTTTTAATATTTAATTCAACCCAAAATTTACAATGCAAATTTAAATTCCCATAACTTCTAGGGCACTATGAAACATGCAGTTCTTGTGCAGTTATTATCAATGACAACACTGTATTTGTAACATTAGCAGTAAGAGTTAATATAGTCGTGAATGTGGATTTATTCCCAACTGCTAATTTCAATCAAATTGTAGAAGTACTTGATATTGAAATTTGATTCTGAAAAGTGACAATGATAGCTCAAATTTAGTTGTTTTGTCTGCAAAGGCATGTATTTTAACAATATAATCTCTTTTAAAAGATTACTGTTAATATCATCATTTTTCAGCTTTGAAAGACAATGAAGCACTATTTATACAGTATCTTAATCCAGTTGGTCTAGGTCCATCTGGAAACACATGACCTAGATGGGCATCACACTGTAATATACAAAAACAAATTAATACCATTAATTAGTCCTTGGATTGTTCAGATGATTGGAGTTCTTAATTAATAAATATCACAATCATCTTTGCCAATAATTAATAAACGCACTTACATACAACAATGCCATGTTTGTTTTTAACAGTTTATGTAAAGATTGTGTTTGGAAGAATCTATATGCAATTTATTATAACAGATCATAGAGTACCGTATAGATTGTGACAATCCATAAGTCCTGGCCATAGGGTTAAAACGAGGGTACATGTTGAAAATTCACTAATTAGATCTTCTCATTTTTACCTGTGGCATCTAATAAAATTGAAATCTACTTAGATATGAACCCATGTCTAAAGTGCAAGTAAAATAATCTTTTTTTAATATACAATAATCTTAAAGTTAGATGGCAATTTGAATCAAATTTAAAAGAAGTGATTTCATTAGGTACAAGTTAATAAGTTCCAACAAATCCAATGTCAGACTTCATTCTTAAAAGTGTACAGGTATACCTCCAACTGACCTTATAACAAGTGACTTCTGTTCTTTTCATACCATGACTGGAATCACTATGTTCTTCTACATAAGACTTATTATTATTATCTTTTACTGTGTCATAAAATGATGGCCAACCAGATCCTGATTCATACTTAGTTTTAGAACTTAAACAGAAATAAAAAGCGAATTAAATGGATATTGCAGTTGAAAATTTTGCTGAGATCAGGACATTAGCCCACCCATTTTTATTTCAAGGATGCCTTGAGCACACATTGTCTCATATTTTGAATTTCCGCTTGGACTGTGGAAGAGAAGTATTTTGGTTCAAAGACAAAATGCCTTTTTGAAATGTTTGACTCATTGATAGTTTCCCTTGGTTACAAACACAACTCTTACAATTGTCTTATGTTTATTTCACTTAATATAAGAAAGATTATACCTGAATAACTCATTACCACAACAAATACATGTGTATATTCCTTTTTCATGATGGTCATAAAATTTACCACTAAAAGGCTGAAAATGAAAAAAAAAACATATTGAGAAATTCTCATTAATCTTTACACATAATTAAGCAGATGTCACTAAATGTGTAAATTTAGGCCATTAATATGTTGGATTTTGATGAATTTGATTTTCCTAAGTGGTGAAAGGTAATTCCTAAGAAATTATATAACATAACTGCTCAAGTAGAACATTATTGTGTTCTTAAAGCTTATAACCTATTCATGGACAAGCATCTTGGTATGTAGTAAATTTGGCTAAAGGTACCATGGAATCAGAATTGGTATACAAAGACCTACTGCTTCTGTTCCCTTTTCTCTAGTAACATAATACTCTTCATCTGTTAATTTCTTCTTTAATTCATCCTCTGACATATCTATCTTCTTTAATAAGCATCCACTTGTGGAAAATAATACTAAAATATAGATATTTGAAGTCCTGACAAATAATGCTGAAAAATCAATATGAAATATTGAAGTAGCAAATGGATTTTACATGTTACTTACTTTGAAAAAATGCTGTGTAATGCTTCATCTGAATTCCCTTACATCAAATATAGTCATGAATGGGTGAATAATTACAATATAAAAAGCAATATCAATGAAATTTTTATGCGATTAACAATGACACGTTTTTTAAAAACAATTCACCATTAGCCTATTAATCATCCTGTAATCTTTATTAGTTAAGGACAGGTAACATTATCCTATTTTGAAGGCAATATATATCTATCTATCATAATTAAGCATTATCAATGTGAGCATAGGCAATAAGAAGGTGTAAGCCTAAGTCTTTATACTTTGTATCAATAATATAAGTAATGACCTATAACAAATAACACTGCTTACAGAAGAAATAAAAATTTCAGTAATATCCTAGTCCATGGTAGACTTAGCCTCATTAGTCTTTAAATTTCTGACTTCTTTTCTTTTGAATTTTCTACAATGACTATTCATATGAATGCTTCTTATTTTCTTATAGATACATGAAAAGATTTTGTTTCACAATACAGGTTTTATCTTTAGATGATTAGTGATATATCAGAAGAATGTTGATTTTTATATTTTCAGCTATTTCAGCTAAAGAAATGATACTACCACAGATAGTATTACAGAGACAACCTTAGTTAACATATCTAATTATCTTAACCGTTAACTTGCACCTTGTTTTATCATAAATCTTTACCTTGTGACCAAGGCCAGTGCTTTCATGAGATAATGTTCTCATCACCATGTAACACTGCTTTTACATAACCTTCTTCTGCAAATCTAAACTAGAGCAGTTATACATTGCAATACCATAGATAGTGCAATGCTTGCAATACCATAGATAGTGCTATGCTATATAGATAGTGCTATGCTATGATTATGAATAGGCTTACATGTAGGTTACGAATAGGTATAATAACTCTCAAAATAACCAGAGAATTTATACTGTGTGAACAAAAAGTAATATACCATCGATACTTACATTTAGGCACTCTATAATGATGTGTCACAGGATGATATAACAAATTTAGGGCTAATTTTTGACATTTATGTAAACGAAGTAAACTCCGAGATAACATAGTGAATTGACTAATCGAGACTACATGGAGAATATTCTTGTATATCCAGACATGTAACTAGAATATAAACGCATATTATAAAATGCTTATATGCCAGACAGTGTGGGGGTAAAGCGGATAAAATTAAAGAGATAAATTTAAAGTATAAATTTGTTTTATGGTGTTAAAATTTTTTTTTAGCTTTTCCCATCCAATTCTTCAACAATAGTCACTTACACATAGAGGTAAAAGACTATCGTCATTTCCCATAATTTCATAATTTTACATCCTTAATTGCGCATGAGAAGTTTGATAACCTGCATGACTCCCTAAATTAAAGAGAAAACCTTAAGTGTTCTTTTGTTTTTACATTCTGAAAAATAATTAGTATATATAGGTTACATTGTGTGTCGTTTCTAATCCAGTCAACCAATTTGAATTTGAACTGTGGACTTTATTGCCCTTGAAGTCTGCTTTTCTCGCGTGTTTATGTGGATTGAGGGCAGCGTTACCTTCAAATACCGTATCACTTTTAAGAACTAAACTTCTTGTCTGGTTCCAGTACAATTCAACAAAAACGTACGAGTTCAGACAGTGGAGAGCTTCTTAAAAACAGCTTGTATTAAAGGGCCTTATATATTTAAATTATAACTATAGGCTTTATCCCTTTCATGTTGGAGAAATACCTCCTTTATATTTTCAATTGTCTTTCTATATGGTCGAGAAGATGAATTTCCATTGATTTTTTCATCATTTTCTTTAAGACAGGGATTAATTAATTTATTTAAGGAAAAACCAGGAAGTGTTTTCAACTTTATTAACATTTCTAACATTCCGTTTCAATTTCAATAAGATTTCTTATATATATAATTAAAAAATCATTTCTATGAGTAACAATCAAAATACACGATCTATTACCTGTATGTTAATAATTACTTGTATATAACAATATTACATCTTCAACATACACGTCATCACATAAACAAAACAACAATTGTTGACAGTCCAGATAAAAAATAAACAAGCAGTGTCTTCACAAGGTATAAAAAAAAATCATTAACAATAGAAATCATCTCGATTTCCTTTAACAGGTATTCTTCTTGTCATGAACTGTACACGGGGTGCGTTTCATTCAGTCCAAATTGTTATACTTCTTTACAAATAAACTGCATATATAAATATTTCTGGGATGTACTCCTCTCAATTCATTAAGAAGTGTGGAAGGTAACTAGCAGCTAACATGTTTCGAGGATTAGTTTGTTTGTTTGTTGTTTCAGTGGCATCTGCCCAATTTTTTGGATCAACAAGTCCATATGGATCGAATCCAAATACTGGTTTCAATTCCATATTTGGTGGTGGATTCTCTAATCCATCGCTAGCTTATGGTACCTCGCCTGGATTAAATGGATTTGGATTAAATACCGCTAATCTGGGTTTAAATACAGCTGGATTATCTTCAAGTGGTTTATATGGTACCAATGGTTTATACGGTTCAAATATTGCCACTTCAGGAGTAGGTTATGGCAGTGCTGCTACAGATGGAAGAATTTATACCACAGAAACATGCAATATCTTATTTGGTTCCAACTCAGTTTTAACTTTCTGTTCCAGATTCCGTAAGTACTGTTATTATTTCTATCTGAAAAGGACGCAGAGACTCTCGAAGTGAAACAAAGGTTGGCCAAATTTCATACATTATTGTTTGTAATTACTTTCGCCACCAAAATCATGCATGTTTCTAAGAGACAGAAAGAAACTATTTTTGTCTGAATATGAATCAAACCTGATTTTAATTACGTGGACGGATGACTAAAACATTATCTTTGTGTTGAGGTTATGTGTTATGTCTTTGTAGGGGATTGATAGTTGTGCTATCAAATTATGTTCTCTTTTGTAACATTTCTTGTATAGATTATCAATTTGCAATATTACATAGAAATAATTGGTTGCCTTCTCATATTACAGAACTTTGTTTGATCCTTCCTTATCACTTTAAATAATGAAAATCCGAATAGAAGTCTAGTAAACCTGAAAATCAGGAAAAACCTTAAAGTCCGTTATTAACATTCCGACAAGCGGTTAATTAATTGATATATCTTTGAGTTGCATGGGTTGAGTTTATACTATTTTCTCACAAGTAAGAAATGAATAGATATGTATTAGGTCTTGAATAATTAAACCTGCCGCATCCACATAAAACAGGCGTATCAGATGCCGGGTTATCATTTGCCGAAATGGAGTTATGTCAGCTATTAAAGCAACTATTTACACTGAGTTTCTATCGAGTTGTCAACTAACTAAAATACTTAATATTTCAGGGCAAGCTTGTGGCGAGATATTATTTAATAGTTCAGTAGCATCTAATACAGTTCGAGTGTGTGGAGGATGTACCATGAAATTTATTCTAGATAATTGTAATAACAGCGCCTTGGCATCAATAGCAGCTAGTAATGCCGCGGCCGCCGCAGCAGTTGGAAAGAAATAATATTTTATTTCATTGCAACTTATTTATTATTTCATCTCACGTCATATATATTTTCATCATAATTATAATACATCAAAATAATGTTCAACTAATTGTATATTAAAATGTGAATAATAAACTTTTCATTGCCGGTATATAAAGTTTTTCCTTCTCTGATCATTTCTACACATTTTTAACAAATTATTCTGATAAATATTTCATTGATGAGGATACTTATTATATCCTTCGTTGGAGTTTGCGGTTAGAACTACACATTTAGACACAATCTATCTGACAACAATTGCTCTTTTGCATACATAGTGGTATTATAAAGACAAGCACAAGAAGTCAACAAAATGTAAACTTATGACCTACTCAATGTATAAACAAATGGATCTGTCCTATATTTCGGGCATGCAATTGGTGGTTGGAATGGTTTTTGGGCGTTTCATATCTGCTGTCACAAATACCCTAATAATTCAATAGCAGACAAGCGGTATTTGAAAAAAGTTTTATGCAGAATCACAAATTACTACTTCTTGACAAAGTGGCTAAATAAAGCAAAACAGTTTTATGAATCAATTTTTATTTAAAACCTGCTTGCTCTCTGAAAAAAAAAATGTAAAACATGAAATAAAAAAAACTCAGTACATCTGAGTCCACGGGGACTGAATGATGTTCATAATCATAATTTTCATACAGTCTATATTATTGATAAAATAAAAATGGTTCTTGTAAATACAAACAAATGACAAAGCTTTTGAATCAATGTAAAACAATGAACAATAACTTTTCATGTTTACTTACGATATCTCTTTATGACCTCTCTTTTCATAAAATTTGACATGACCTAACTTTCGTTTTCTGAAAATAAAATAAAACATAAAAATCTTGATCATAAAAGAAATCAATATTAACATCAAAGTCCTTTTTTGTGAAGCAAGATGAAGGGAAATTCACTGTTGAGTTTTCAGTAACATATGAATTTGTTAAGCAACAAGTCTGCCAAATCTGTATATTCTGCATTACAAAAGCTGTCAATTTTTAACATAATTGTGAGCGCTTTCTTATCAATTAAATAGACTTACTGAATTCTAGAAGGAGCTGGAATAATATTCCTCTTCTGAAAACTTTTATACCTGTCAGATAATATATTACCTTCAGGCTACAAAATAATACAATATTATATAAACATTAAAGACAATGTGTGTGATTATCCTTGATAAATCTTAATTCAATCTTGAAAAACTTTTCAGAAATTTATTATAAGAGATAAGAACTATACAGTTTGTCTTAAAGGCAAATTAAGACTTTATAAACTAGACTGGACTATTCTAATCTCCTTCTACTACAAATCATAATTTCCTTCTGACATAACTTCTAAATTGACTTACTAATATACAAATCATTTCATGTGTCTAGACTATTTAAAACAATGGTTCATCTCATAATATATTAGTATCATACGCCATAACTGTGTGTGTTTAATATTACCTTTAATTTTCTCAAAGAACCACTTATTTCTTTACCTAACTGTACATCAATATCACCAGCTTCATATCTTACATGGTTAAGGTCATTTATGTGGGAATTTGGTTTCAACCCAATTGATGAAATCCTGAGTCTTAACGAATGATGCCAACCTAAGGACAAATAGGGATTACAATCATGATGCCAATCTGCATCTATCAATTTACCATTATTCCAAATAAATTGTTTTCATGTCTGTATTGGGATTTGGAGAAGATTAAAATCTATCATAAGCAACACAAATAGTTTCTTTCATTGCAGTAAAACAGTACTTGATTTGACTGTATTTACATGATCATCTAGAATTTACATGAATCTAGAATAGTTTCATCAGATCAACCTCTCACACATAGATTGATTGTTCATTAACTACGAATCCAGTTGAAAAAATTAATGCTGTTTAACAAATCAGAACTGGTTTTATCAAAAAGGATACTTAGCATGTCCAAGCCTTTTAGTTCTAAATTGTTTTGTCACTTTTAATTTCTCCTTTTTCTTCTGTCTTATCTGAGTTAGTGTTTCCTGAGCTTTAAATTCTTTATTAAATGTTTTTATTCTGAAAAATATAGCTAGACATGACCTTCAGAAGAACATAATTTTACTAAAAGGGTAGTTTGTGGTGCCTTGGATGAGCATAATCCATTTAGAATGTAACAATGTCAGTAATACAAATTTATCACTGACAACTAGCTACAGTTGTATTTGTAGAAGCTTTTAATATATAAGTATATACAAGTACATGCTTAACAAATGGATAATATTCATATTCTACATTTTAACAAAAGTGCCCTTTTACATTCAGAGATATAAAAGACAACTACTTGATTTGAATTTGAATAAAGCATGTAGAGGTTGTGGTGGCTCACTAAGTTGCTTGCTCAATAACCTAGGTTGGTGGTCCAATAAGGGAGATATATTCCCTTGGGTAATTTAAACTGATTTCCTATGACCGTAATTCAACACTAGATGAGTCGACAATGCAAAAAGATCCTGTCTCTACTGAGATATAAACATAGCCCCATTGTGCTACAGGTGGTGCACTAAAGATCTTTCTATAATTGGAAAGCCAAAGAGTATGCTAATGCAGCTCTTCAGACAAAATTTCACCTCTCACACTGTTGTGTGTCTTCATTAGATTTTGTTGGACTTTTAAGAACAGAAATTAATAACATCCAATATGTAATATATAATATTTTACCTGTAAACTTCACTCTCTCTTATCCTAATTGATTTCAAAGCATTTTTCTGTCTGTCCTATGATAATAATAAATAACAATCAACAAATAATATTAACAAAAAAAACAACAGTTAACAATCAATAAGTAACATTAACAATAGAATAATAAGACATAAGAGTCAATTAATATCAATATATCAATAAATACATCCTACAACAATAACTAATCCTAATCATTCAACAATAGAAATTTCTATATCGCTCTACAATTGACGTATTGAGCACTACTTTAACAGTGTTATTTCCATATCGCTCTACAATTGACGTATTGAGCACTAGTTTAACAGCGGTATTTCTATATTGCTCTACAATTGACGTATTGAGCACTAGTTTAACAGTGTTATTTCCATATCGCTCTACAATTGACGTATTGAGCACTAGTTTAACAGCGGTATTTCTATATTGCTCTACATTTGACGTATTGAGCACTAGATTAACAGTGTTATTTCTATATTGCTCTACAATTGACGTATTGAGCACTAGTTTAACAGTGGTATTTCTATATTGCTCTACAATTGACATATTGAGCACTAGTTTAACAGTGTTATTTCTATATTACTCTACAATTGACGTATTGAGCACTAGTTTAACAGTGTTATTTCTATATTGCTCTACAATTGACATATTGAGCACTAGTTTAACAGTGTTATTTCTATATTACTCTACAATTGACGTATTGAGCACTAGTTTAACAGTGGTATTTCTATATCGCTCTACAATTGACATATTGAGCACTAGTTTAACAGTGTTATTTCTATATCGCTCTACAATTGACGTATTCAGCACTAGTTTAACAGTGTTATTTCTATATCCCTCTACAATTGATGTATTGAACACTAGTTTCAGTGTTATTTCTAAATAGCTCTACAATTGATGTATTGAGCAGTAGTTTAACAGTGTTATTTCTATATCGCTCTACAATTGACATATTGAGCACTAGTTTAACAGTGTTATTTCTATATCGCTCTACAATTGACGTATTGAGCACTAGTTTAACAGTGTTATTTCTATATTGCTCTACAATTGACATATTGAGCACTAGTTTAACAGTGTTATTTTTATATCGCTCTACAATTGATGTATCAAGCACTAGCTTAACAGTGGTATTTCGCTCTACAATTGATAGCTCTACAAATTGGTGTACTTAACAGTGAGATTTTTTTATCATTCATCATTTTTATAATGCCTAAAATTTATAATGTAAAATAATGTTAAAATTATCTGTTTGATTTCCTAATAGAAAGGAGATATCAATTTCTTGATCATATATACTTTTGATTTTCTATCATATCTATCATATCATGCATAGTGAGAATTGTAGAGTGAATTTACTGGATAAACAATCCTGATAGAGTATGAAATAGTTTCTTTGTCTTCAACTTCAATTTACACATGAATCAAGTATTACACAGTATATTGTGTTGCTTGTTAAATGTCATTGTTTTAAATCCATGAAACAACATCTATAATTAAATTCAAAACATATTTGGCAAAATAGTTTCGATATATCACAAATATCTCAAATTTTCTACAGTTACCTACCCTTAATTTGACTTTTCGATCATGTTCTTTCTGTTTATGTGTCTTTCTGTCCTCTCTTCTAACAGCAGGATTAATTCCAGTAGATTCCAATTCTTCATCAGAAAATTCTTCATCTTCTATTTCTTCTTCCTTGTTTTTTTGCACCTTTGTGACCTTCTTTTTATTTTCCTGTAACATATTGATTTTAGATATTGATCCAAACACAGAAAACTGATTAATTCTCCATGTATAAGAAAATCATTAAATAGATCTTGATCAACATTAATAGATTCATTGACAATCATATCATTTGAAAATATTCTGTAAACAACATGTCTCAAGATCAACACCCATTAAAGGATCATTACCAGATACCTACTAACAAAATTTTTTTTGGTCACATAGTTGCATATTACATACTTTTGAAACCACTGAAGACACTTTGGCTTTATTACCAATAATTAACATTTAATTGGGTATTATAACAACTGCTATAGAGCCAAAATTACATTTTTCAAAAATTTTCTGAAATCCCAATATTCTGAGCCCAATTTTGACAATTAAACCAAAAATAATATTCTTTTTTTTAACAACTTTCTGCAATTTCAATTGATACTTCAGTTGTTTTTTTTTTCATAATGGCAATTCTCGACTATGATCCTTCAAATGTAATCTATTGAAAATCGTTTTATGTAGTCAGCAATTCAATAAAGTCCTATGTAATTATTTCTTCTGAAAATTTGACTTAAATAATCAATAAAAACACCCTCTAAATCAAAACATTTATTTACATCTTTAAATAAGAAATCATTACCTTTACTTCAATATTTAAATGAACTGTTGTTTTATTTATTTCTTCCTCTTTTTTCTTTTTCTTTAATTCAACTTTTAATGCTTTATTTAACAATTTCTGAATAGAAAATTATAATAAGCATCATTGATATCCCACTGTTTTCATTCTGTACAATATATGCCCTCAGGGTCTTGGTATTATATATAAAAGTACAGGAACATACATTCACAGCACCAGCTGATAATTTATACTTAATGGAAACTCTGCCACCTCATGCAATACTCGAAAAAGTATCGATACACAGCAAATTCCTTGTTTTGAAGAGTAATTACATAAAATATCAATTCAAATGTAGTGGAACCCGACATAGGATTTTCATTCTCTAAGTGAAACTTATGGATCAAGCTCAATCAGCTGGTGAGGCTACATGATCATATTGATTCAATATATCAGATCTCAATTCTAGTGATACAGTCAGCTGTAATTGAGTAAATCCCTTGAATGATGCCTGATTCCATCATATATTTTCCATTTAAATGTAGAGATATTTATGGCACCAACCTTATGATCATCAAAGGCAGGATTATATGACATGCCAGGATGAGGTGTGTCTATAGCTTTATGTGCTGATGGTTTCTCTTTCTTGTGTTTAGGAATCTGAAATTATATCCAATCAAATTCATCTTCAAAATAAACAAAGCTGATAGAACTAAGTTGTACAATTCCATCCTATCGCTTTAATCTTTGGTGATAACAGATGAAAGATTTTAATTACCTTCACTGGTTTTGTTGTTTTAACATCCGATATAAGATCTTCTCCTGCTTTAGGTACTACTGGCTTAATATCTGTAACAAATTTGTTTATATATATCAAATAAAAGATGTCCCACTATTAAACACAATATTGGGCTAATAAAAGTGTCCTGAAAAGGGAAATTTGCTAAAATAGTCACTTATTGTTTTCTTATCTAAGGGATTAGGAAAATGAAGAAATAAAAAATAAGGTCTTTAGCCTACCTGCCCATATATCATAATTCTGTTCTGGTACTGTCTGACTTCTAATTCTTGAACTTTTACGATTTTGACTACTTTTATGATATTTATCTATCTGAGATTGAAATTCTTCATCTAATTTCCCACTTATCCTATCTTTCATTTCAGGATGTAGTCTTTTCAAGCCTTTTTTATGTGTGCATTTTCCTCTGAAATTAAAATTAGGGCTACAATAACGAAAAAATCATTTGATTTTGATCACTTAGATATCAAATTAAAAACCCTACAAATTTACACACTATTTCAGGAATTCTACTGCTCAATGAATGTACATATGATATAAATCAACAAGTTACTTACAATGAAACTGGTTTAATTCTAGGGTCTGGTTCCAAGTTACTGTAACATCTCAATTTTTTATTTCTTCTATTAGGTTTTTCACCTGAAATTTTAACAAGACATTTTTTCTAAAAGACAATCTACCAGTATCAGTATGGCGAGAATAAAGTTAGGGTAATTGGCTACATCTATTGGGATGTTAGTAATAACAGATTTAGTAAGCTAAGAAAGTCAAAAGGTTATTCTACCAATGAAAATGGTATTAAGGTATTAAGTTTCAGTGGGCATTCTCATTCTACTTGAACCTACCGTCAGTTGTGTTGTATTTTTCTTTATCAACAAAAAACAGTTCACTATCACTTTTAGTAGAAATGACACCACTTAAATAAACAAATAAACATCATATAAATACATGATTACTTAAACAAGATTACATTATAGTTATATCTTTCACTGTAGTCTATACCTATAGTTCAGATGTATCTCATATTTCTTCATTATTACTGCTACAGTACATGCTGTAGAACTAGAAGACTACTAGTACAGTCAAGTAACCTAAATTTGTTTGGATAAACATGGGTTATCTGTACAATGTCAGCTAGTATAAAGAATCCAGTAGTTTCAAGCAAAATAAAATGTATTAATGTATACTTTGACAAATACAAAATGGCGGATTTCAGTTATTACCAAACGTCACCATTTTTTATCGGCAGAATTTCCTTATAATCCCAAGCGGTAATCGGAATTCCAAGTGTCGTCTGCTAGAATGTAGTCCAACGAATGAAGTCACGTGATCAACTAGCAGATTCCGTGTCAGCAGAAAATTTCTATGGAACGCATAGTTGTTTCAGTGACTTTAAGCAATAAATCATGCTACGTATCTTATTTTGTCCGTCACTATTTTTGTTAAAATCATGGTTCTTTGAAGGAATTGTCAATAATTACAATGAATTAATATTAAAGATAAATACTAAGAGAAGTTAATTATACCACCCGGTATCCATACAACGTGTTTTTCTCGACTTATTCATAGATCAAACATAGTTCACTAAAATAGGTATCCAACTGAAAGAAACTTTTGGGCATACCACAGGTACCAATTGTCAAAATCAGTTAAGCAAATTTTTCTTAAATTTGACAGAAGAGATTACATGCACGTGGTCAATGTTTATGTTTTGATTTGTCACGTGGACCAAGGATTGAAAAGTAGTAAATCGATTTGGAACAAAAGTACACCGAAAAAACATATTTCTATTACCCAGTTCTTTCCTCAAAGCATCTTTCGTCAAAGTAATCTTCTAAATCTCCAGTATCTAAAGATTTCCAGCCTTTTTTCTTTCTTTTAGACATCTTTTTAGGTTTTGGTCTGCCTGAAGACTTCGTTTTGCTTTTTGTCGTAATTATCCAGTCCAGTAAAACTATTAGACTTTTACAATATAAAGAAAGGACTGGAAAACCTATAGGTCTTTTTAACCTCAATGAAAAGAAACTGACAAAAAGATTTATCTCCCTTGGAACTCAGACAACAGCTATTATAGCCTATAATAAAATAATCATCACTGGGCATCACTCCTTTTAATCATTATTCTAAAATGCAGAAAGTGGGAATAAGCATTAGACAAAAACGATGCCACGTCAAATGGCCTCTATTGTGAGGAAAAAGAACTTGATGCTAATATCTTATCTAAAAAATCTTACTAATCTATTCAAATCAAAACTTGCTTGCTTTGAGACATTATAATCTTTTTTCAATAAGTACAAATACTTTGGCTTCTAGTCATTGTTATTGTCACTGAAAGTTGAATTTGAATCTACAGTAGAGGTTGTATCTAGCTCTGAATTTCATTGAGCCATACATAAACTTCACCATGTTGAATATGCCTACTTGTCTCCATTATTGGTGTTTTAACTTATTCTGCTGGCCAAATTCTTTCAGACCATTTCAAATAGTTAATTTGTGGAATCATTAAAAAAAATTTAAAAGGTCAGTAAGAGACATAAGGCCTACATGTAATTCTATCAAGTGTACTTCCATATGTTCATGTGGGTGTAAAAAACTATTCACATAGGTGAGATAATTATCCAATTTATTGAGCATTTTTAAGAAGCTTTTACAATTAAACAATAATATAGAGGATAAGCAAATTTTTTATTCTTAAACACATATCATTCATTAACAATCATTCATATACAAATCAAACTGTCTTCAAACATTCTTCAAAATCTTGCATTTTGCCAAATTTTTTACATGTGAATTTGAATGTCAGCTTAAAACAGTACTGATAGTCTTGGTCTTAAAAAAAAAAATATTTAAAATCCCATGTAAAACTTCTTCAAAGTGATAATGTGTGCTCATCAATGCAAAATCTTTCTAAAGCTAACAGTATTTTTTTTTCAAGCCGATACTCCCAATCACATAAAAATAATCAGTAAAATTCAAGATGAAGACAGTAACAAATCATATCAGTTTAATAAAATCATTCATGAACATAATAATGGTTGAGATAATAAATTTACCACCTTAGACAATGGTTTCAGTAATTTAACATGTCTAGAAGATAGCCATGATAATCATGATTCTATATGTAAAAAAACTAATAAATAAAAATTGGTAATAAATATAGGATAAAGGATAATGACTGTTTCATTAAAGATGGCAGCAGTAATTATTGACAAAATTTACATTTTATGTCCCATATAACTGGTAAGTTAATTAACTTAATTAATAATTAATCATAATCAATTAAATAGTAGTGGAAAATATTGTCATGGTAGCAAGACGATAGATCTATAAATTTCCGATCATTAAATTATCATTGCCAAATATATTCTGAGGATCAATATAAGCTTTTAATGCTTTCATTGCACCAAGTCCAACATCTCCTACAGTCTTCTTTAACCATCGTTTCCTTACTTTACCCACTAAAATAAATACAAAAACATATTTCAAACCAAAGTTCTATGTAGGATATACCGAGTCAAATAGTGTATATTATAATGTCAACTCTATTGTTTCTTGTGAAGAGTAATATAATAACCAAATATTATAAATCACTATAGCAAGAAAGTCACACATTTTTAATAAATCAGGGTTTCAAACAATTATAAAAAACACATGAATTTGTTCTTTTCACTCTTTTTTGAGCAGGATTGAAACACAAGAGCTCTGATGTCATGGAGTACAAATAAGTGATCTCTACAGATTTATTTGAACCTGATATACACTCTACCCCTAGTGAATTCTAAATTCTTACCACCATGATGATGCGAAATACTGCCACCATTAGCTAATACTTCATCTCTTGCACAGCCCTGAAAACAGTAGTGAAAATTAAAAAACAATATATTCATATCTCATTTGAGATAATATCTTTGGATTGTTTCCCCCTTACAGTGATGGACGATAGAGAGACTGTCATGGCAAAAGCATCTACTTTTTCGAATGGGACAATAAACTGAGTTCCAGTATGCCACAGGCAGATCTCTCAACAGTCAAAAATTAAAAATAGGGTTTGCTTTTGTGTTACCAGTCTTCCATTAGCCCGATTGGGTCATTTCAAAATGGCATTAAAGGTTAGGTGACATCATAATAAAAGAATAACATAATTTGAAAGTATATAGAATTATGTTTACCTCAATGGTTTCATATAAATGAACTGGATTAGAAATACCACGATAATTAAAACCAAAATAAAAATAGACACATGCACCAGCATCATAGGTCTGTGTTACTCTGAAAATATAACAAAGGATCTATTTCAAAACATTTGGAAATACATGTTATATTGATATATACTAATAATGCTGCAATTCAGAAGCTATCTTGAATGTAGAAGAATTCATTCATCTTCGAAATATTTTTCACGATCATGCCAACAAAATACTTATCAATCCAATGTTACCAATGTATAGCTTAAAGAAACTTTTTTGACCACAATACCTGCAAGTGACGTAAGGTGGAAACTGCACACCTCTATCTTTGCATTCTCTATGTAATCTCTCTTTAACATTCTGGCATAAATCTAAACATCTGAAATTGAAACATTGACGTTTTTTTTAGAAATTATAGTAATTATTTTTCTATCAATGTAAATCTAAGTGTAAATCAGACTTGGAAGCTACTAAATAAATTCATAAAGGATTTAGTGAGAAGTACTGAATAGAGAGATCTGGTTAATATTAGGAAAGAATAACAACATATAAGAAATATAAAGTAAAATATTTACCTATCCCATGGTACAGATGTTTCAAATGACTCGGCTACAACATAATACTCTAAAGCTAAATCCTGTAAGTATACAAACATTATTTTAAACATAAGCTCTTCATATGTTTTTCTAATAAAGCTTACTCAACTATTGCATTGAAACATTAAAGAAAAATCTACCCCAGAATCACCAAAAGCTATAACAATGTCACATTTAGTTTACAAGTAATGGTACTCGTTAAAAGTTATATGAAAAAGCTGACATTGTTGTCCCTCTCTACAATTTATTAGGTCTATTAATTAGTTGAATTAACATTAATCTGTGCAAAAAAATGCTTCATGGACAATTCAATCTGAGACTTTGTTTCCAGAAAGTTCTTAATAATGATTTGAGTACATTATTTCAAGAAATATTACAGTCATATCTTACCCTGATATAAGCTATAGAAAATGTTAACATATAACCACGTTCCCCATTATCAGCACCTGCTGGTAAACCACTACAAAGAAATAAATATTTTCATTTTACAAGAATGACAACTAAGGTGACAAGGAAACTTCTGGTCCTTTGTTTTCAATATCCATACACAAACTGAATCTAACTCATGTTGTAATCACAAAATCACCTAACTTTAGTAATTCATATCAACTTTTTTAGCATATTTACCCAAAGTTGGCAGCTATTTCATACACTCTCTTCTCTTGAGCTGCTACTTCCTAAAATAATACCACATCAAGACTAAAATATATAACTCTTCACATATTCAAAACAAGTATCTATGATTATTCGACATAGAATAGCAGGATTAAGCGGATAGATAAAAAATAAGCATTTGTTTCCCAGTGTTCCTTGTGAGAGAAACTCTTTTCAATCAAAATTTCAATTACCTCTTTGGTACCTTCAAATAACAATGTAGCTACACTTAATTTTTGTGGATCAAAACCTTTTAATTTTGTAATGTAAAACTTTTTTAAACCATCTAAAAAGCTCGATAATATAGAACTATCTTCTGGTTTTAATGCATGACCTACAAGAAAAAATAACAAGCTAATGATTTCTAAAGCAAGAGAAAAATTTTTGGTATATTGGAAAAGAAACAAAATTAAAGGACCTTACATCTGACTGTTTTACTGCTTTAACAGTAGATTGTAAACAAAACATATCGTCCTTATCAGACATATTTCTTATTGGATATCTTATGAAAATTTAAAGTAGAATAAAATTAAAATTACCAAATTGGAACTGTTCATTATCCATCAATCTAATAGAGGCTGGAGCACATCTCTGAAGAGCAAAAAATTGAAAAAACATCATCAAAATATAGATAATAAAGATTTAGGATTTTACAATTATAACTATACAATATTATATTTTACTAAATACAAATGACAACATATATTGTTATAATAAACCTTGTATGTACCTGTTTAGCTATTTCTCTTAAACAACCAACACCATTCTGGAATTCAGGAAATACAATTGAACCATACTTTTTACATTGGGGTAGAGGTCGGATTTTTATTGTTACTTCTGTTACAATACCCAACGTACCTATTAATATAATAATAGCAAAATTTACATTCATATATTTATTTATCATTTAATTATAACAGAAACAAGGAATAATACCCATTTTGAATATTGAAAAATAAAAGGGAGTTAACACTTTTCCAAACCAAATATAGTAAAATAAGTATACACTAGTCATCAAGTATGATGAATTTGGTCACTACCTGATTGTTCTACTTTTTAGAAAAAAGATGAGATGATGTATCAAAAACCAAAATCTTACCTTCCGAGCCTAAAATAAAATGGTGGATATCTGGACCAGCAGAAATTCGTGGGACCTGACAATTTTTCTCCATCACTCCACGAGGAGTAACAAATTTGATATGTACAATCTGAAGAATAATGATAATGTTAATGACATCTTGGAAGACTTTAGGATTGTTGTATTCAATACAGCTTTACACTCAACAGAAGCAGATTCAGTTTAAAGACAACTACTGAATAATAAACAATCACAAAAAAGCACAAAGAACAAAATTCCTAGTTGACATTTTCAAAAAATAATCATTTAATATTTACCATGTCTTCAATATTGCCATAAATATTTTTCTTCATTCCAGAGGCTCTAGTAGCTACCCAGCCTCCTAAAGAACTAAATTCCATAGAATCAGGTTCATGACCAGTACAATACCCCTTTTCAGCTAACTAAAAATACATCATTACAGATTTGTTTACAGTATTTTATTTAATCAGCATGTATCAAATCTCTACTGACCTTGGTAAGTACATTTCACCATCTAATACCCAGTAATAAAAAAATGTTACTGTATTTAGCTTTAGTATTTGGCTGATGAAGAAAACTCACAGTATTAAGACATCCCAACTCAATAATGAGAAATAACCAACCTCAGTTCTCTTCTATAAGTTTGTTAGTATCATGATATATCTTAAATATTGTGAAAACTTACAAATCTTTCTAAATCCTGTCCTATTATACCACATTCAGCATGTACTGTTAAATTCTTTTCATCTACCCATAATATTTTGTTCTGCAAAATATATCAGTAATATTGAAAAGGGAAATGTTAGAGATAAGTTATATGTACCTTGTCAATTTCATAGTTACCAAGCTACTAAACTTTATATTAAACATTTTGTCCTCATGACTGCTACAACAGCCAAAACGTTTGAAATCTATAAATCAACTGATAGATACAATCAAATCAACTATTCTGATATCACCGATATTTTATGAGAGAAAATTTAAGAATTTGTTCCTTGGAAAAGTATACATACCATTTGTGATGTATCTAGAGATACTATCATTCTTTGTTCTAATGGTGGACATTCCAAAGCCCCAGAAACAGTTGTTCCACCTGAAATATTCCAAAAGATTCAACAATAAAAAATTTCCCGAGATTTTGACAGATGACCCAATATTTCAAACAAAAGCTTTGATGATGATTGTCTCAAGATAAAGTACTTGAAAACATTCTTAAAACATAAAAAGTAGATATGTTAAAAAAAAACTAGAGAAAACATAATAAGCCTCTTACCTCCAAATGGTATAATAACAACATTATATTTACAGGCTAATTCAACAACATTTACAACTTCATTATGATTATCTGAAAAGTAACGTAATAACAATCTAACCAGAATAATTCAACTACAGTAACAAATATATTTGGTAATCTGATAAATCAACAATATAATAATTATCTAATAAGGCACCCATCTTTCATAAATTCAATCCTTACCTGGCCATACAACTAAATCTGGAATTCTTTCAAACGTTCCTTCGCGTAATCGAAATATTTCATGTAGTGTGTGACCTTAAAAAGAGAACAAAATTAAATTGAAAATTTAAATGAAATTCTGTAAAAGACAATAATGCATCAAAATTAAGACAGATTTTTCTTTTAGGTACAGCACAAGTTAAATATACTTTTGTTACAAAATATTCTAAACCGGTTTAACATACTGTATAATTCTCAATTTACCAATTTACATTGAAGACAATTTCTTTCCAATCTCCAAATGAAATTTGTAAGCAGAGGTCAAAGTATGTTCTGTATAATATGAGGGGTCAATATTCACACTATGATGAGTATGTGTGACAATGATGACTATTGGAATAAAATTTACCATGTGCTCTAAATAATCTGTCCTGACAATCATCAGAGAATGATATTCCTGCTCTTTTAACATCATCAATAAATTCTTCATGTTTAATAGGTATAGGTATATCAGCTGCTGTTATTTCTCCCTACAAACATATTTTAAGTGGCACACTGATCAAAATAGATCATATAATATATTGTATGCTAATAATAACTTTCATAAATCATGTCATTTACTTATATCAGTGGTATGAGAAGATATTCTAACATAATTTGATTTGAATTATGGTACATCTCCTACTATTTCACTGGACTAACCAAGAATATTTATGTGTCTAAGAATGAATTACATTGTGCTATAAAAAAGGAGAAAAACTATCATATGAAGTAGTGCTGGGAATAATTATAGAAAATTGATTATCGCTCTTATGTCATGTACCGATAACGATAATCGATGGTTCATTTCAAAATCGATTATCGCAAAAAAAACATAACCTCCGGTAATTCTGTTAAATTACTTCCAGGACCATAATAAAAACACGCTTTCGGCAGTCACGTACCGCAAAATAAACTATGCTAAAGTCTTTATTCTCGTATGTTCTTCCATTTCTTTGATTGTAAATGATCATAACAATCATTAATAATAAAAATTTCATTCACAATAAATTAGTACAAACGTTTGTTATTATACGTATATATAATTAACTGAATACAGGTACCGATATTTGGGCATGACTTTCCCTTTATTTTTCATACGATTGTAGTTGTCTCCCTTTTTTTATCAAGTCTAATTACGTAACGACAATGCTGATTGGATAATCAGTGCTGTTTATAAATAGAAGGCTAATCACAATTCGTATAACAACAGTGCTTAGTATTTTAGTCTTGGTTGTCAAGAACGTGTGATCAAATCAATTATTTTTACCATTCAACGGTACATTCACTCCGATGGCGATTTTGACAAAAACTAATCTTCCAAACGTCTTTAAAACAAAAAGATTGGTCACATAGCGAAGAACATGATAATAAACACAATACACATACTAGTATCTAACACTAGCATTACATAGAAGTAAGTGGTAGGCAGCCTAAATAGGACTTGAAATGAGTCGACTACTTGACCTAAAATTTGAGTATCAACATTACGATTTTTATCGATTATCGATCGGAAATGCCTAACGATATATTGTCGATAATCGATGATAATTTTAAACTCGATTCCCAGCACTAATATGAAGTTATAACATTTTTTCAGAATATTCAAATAAAGTTCACAAACCTGTGCTGGAGCTCTATAATCTAAATTAACACCAATAACAGCACTAATCCAATCTTTTAAATGGGGTAGTTTTTTACCACTTAGTCTATACCTGAAAATAGAACAATCTTTTTATTTACACTGTCAATTTCAGTGATATGTATTAATCATATATGTGTAAAATTTCTTACAAAAACAAAAACTTAAAACAACAAGCCTTTAAAAATCAAGTCTAAATAATCAACAAATTTTGTAGATTTGTAGTTTTCTAAAGTCTGGTAAACTTCATATACAGCTCCAGTAAGACACAAGGTAGTTCTTCTCTTCTCAAACTCATGCACATACCTTTCTCCACTTAGTTCTATTTGACTATCCTTGCTAACTGTAAACTTTGAATCTTTGTAACCCCATCCATTCCACTTCAACAACTCTTGTCTGGTAAGTAAAAAAAAAAAAGGTAACAGTTGAAAAAGTTGTGTGATATCACTAATGACAGTATGTCATTAGACAGCCAATCAATTCATTGATGGCCTTCAGGAAAATGACGGGGAAACATTTCATAATCTTACATACTTGCTGATCGATTTAAAGTCTGCGATAAATAAATATCTAGGTGTTGACATTAACAGACTTTAGTGTGGATATGTTCTTTAAGCGTGAAGTACTAATTTGGATGATTTCAACTCACAGTATGTTTAAATTTCACCATAAATCTTGCCTACACAGTGTAGACAGCATCAGCTACTCTCTGGCCACATCATGTTCTAAATCACATTTTGGCTATCATTTTTGTATGAATTGAAATATTAATCTCCAAATATTGCTGAGAGTCTTAGATTGTCTTTGGGTTGATGAAAATGCCAACCATTGAAAACAAAATTATTTGATTGAAACTATTATTTTACAGAGGTAGATTTTCACTTCAAAATGTGTGTCATTTTCACATAAATTTCTTGGATAGAAGTGTGTTCATTTCCAGTGTGAACATTTCAAAACTTATATATTCCAAAGGCATTCTAAAAGACAATTGGTATGCACTTGAAAATAATATTTTGATTATTTGTGACATGATAAGAAAGTAAAAGGTAGTGCTAGCGTTATCACTGTTTTTTACGAATTTTACTCTAAATCAGCCCAGAACCATATATTTCTCCAGTCAATAACAACTGATTAAAATATCTATCAGAGGCTGGATGGAAGGAAAGATGTTGCGGACAAGTTAAGGATGGGAACAGTAATCGAGACAACCATTTTACCAAAGTAAACAGTGACATGATGTTTAATTAATCTAAAATACCTTCTCTTGGGAATTGTGGGTGCTTCATTGATTTTCTGGGCTGAGCAGCTGTGGAAATTAACGCTATCACCAGCAACAGATTTATTTTTAGTCGTGCATGCGATGCAATGTTGAATTTTGGACGCCATTTTAGGTCAATTGTAGTGTATGACGCGCGAACGCAATATGTCGCACTTGATTTTCTGTTAAATGCTCTTCGTTTTGGAATAAGATCTATAATTTATGCTTCAGCTCTAGCTGGAGTACACCAAGTACCCGAGTACATTGACATGATAGGAAATTTTGACTAATAGAATGTTCGACAAAGATATCTGCTTAATGTGGATTATGAAATATATCGGATTTGGATCGTGTGAAAAGATATCGGCACGACTGATATTGGTAAATCGAGTTCATCTTCTCGCGTTAGATTCTACAAACATGCGAGTCACTGACCTGGTCGCATTCGTATACGTTCTTGACAACACGAGAACTGACTATTAAGAACAATCAAGAACAAAAAAAAAAGAATCGCAATTCTTTCACTTATTTCTTTTTATATTATAATAGACAGTCAATTCAAAGCGTCCTTATTGTGCAGGGTTTGTCATTATAATATGACAGAATTATTATGAGTTATAAAAGGTCTGCAAACAATAAAAATAGCTAGGCCAAATGAAGATGGCTCTTCAGGCAAGGTAATACTAATACGCGATTTAAGTCTAAGCTCCCTGAGATTTGCAGCTAATAGAATCGCAAGCGTTCGCTAAATGATAATAAATTTTTGATTTGGCAAATATAAAAAAGGCTATTTTGTAGATTTTGTATTCGATGTTACACAAAACAATCTTCTATACAAAAGTACTTGACTAGGTACACAATCATGAAACTCAAAGCAGGATGAACCGTGCATAAAGAAATTTTTAAAAAATTGAAATACTGGGTGAATTTTTGATATTTGGATCCAGAGCATTCCAGAAACATAGGCTACTCCAACATATTTTAAACCCCGTTTTACAATAGAGATCCTTGGTCTAAGGAGAATTAGTTTGTTATTGATGGTGGCGTAACGAGTATTATATTTTTCAAATATATTACATATAAAATTAGCTAAATAACCATCTAAGATTGTAAATAGATAAATATAAAGATAGTTTGCCTGGCAAGGTAACATACGCCCACTGGCAACTGCCAGAGATGATAACTAAATCTTTATTGACCAAAAATTTATATTAAAGATCCTCATAATACTACCAAATTTCTCATATTGAAGATCTTCATTCATTAGTTCAAAAACCCTGAATATCTCATCAATTTAGGGTCAGTTATGCTCAGTTTTCCTGATCAAATCTTTTCAAATCAATAGCAATAACATAGAAGCATTGAATTATCACACTTTCTCTCGTGTCTGAAATTTTCAAAGATATATAATGGTATCATTAAATTCACACAAACTAACTAACATAGACAAATTTGAACTTAACTGAGATCTCATTAATATATACATACCAAGTTTCATCAAGATTCGATAAAAACTGTAGCCCCCATCGTGCTTACAAGTCAAATTTGATGTCCAGGGCTATATGACTCAAAAACCCTTCATCGAAAAATCGTCAAATTCGAACTTGTCAATACCAATGCTCATCCATAGAAAATTGTAGCTTCTATTGTGCCCACAACAAATTTTGACGCGATTTTACTTAGTCAAGGGCAATAACTCAATAAAGCGTTCATCGAAAAATCGTCAAATTTGAACTTTACCGCCTTTTTATCAACCCCAATGCTTATACCAAGTTTCATCAAAAGCCATTGAAAATTGTAGCTTCTGTTGTGCCAACAGCCAAATTTTGACGCGATTTTACTAAGTCAAGGGCAACAACTCAAAAACAAATCATCAAATTCGAACTTGACCGCCGTCTTATGAATCTCAATGCTCACATACCAAGTTTCATTACAATTAAATGAACACTGTAGTCTTTATTGAAGAAATGTTGACGAACGGACCGACGAACAGGGGCAACGGCAATATACGACCACATATTCATGTGGGCGCATAACAATTGAAGGTGTGGCGATTGGAAATATTCATAATTTTTAATTTTTGAAGTTCAGATAATTTATTGCTGAGTCCAAAACCAAATTCGTAGCAAGTTTAAATTGATGTTCGAACGTTTTAGAAGATAAATGATTCGATGATTTTACGCAGTTGAAAACTATTTTAAACATATTTAGTGTGATCAGACCCATTGTTGATTTAAGATAACTGCAAGTAGGCTAGTTTAAATGATAAAACAATTTCGATCTTAAAATTGTTAATGGTAATATGAGGATGATATGATAAAAGGTGAATTTTTAGACCAACAGTTTAGAATAGCTGACTACAATTAATTTCATATAAGCAGGCAATCTGTAACAGTTCTGAGTTTTTTCAGCGTGAAAATATTGTGGAATGTTATAAGAAATCCAGGAAATGATGGCTATTTTGGATTGCGGTAACAATCATTGAAATTTTTTTTCGGACTTTCGGTATATTAGTCTACCTATCCTGAAAAAAAAACAGTTTGTTATGAGAAATGTCTAGGTTTAAGCCCATTTTGACTTTATGATCTTCCATCACAAGTGGGCACGTGGGGCCAAAATTCAGGAGGCTGTAAAAAATTGCCCCCAAGCCAGAATCATGGGGACACTTTTTCTGTAGTCCACCTCACTATACTCAGAAAAAGCAAGAATCATTCATGTCACGGTTTTCCCACAAATGTGATAGTTCTGTCCGGCGAAGGCGTATGTAGTTGTCGAGAATACTGTCTGGAATGTCCTCAGATGGAAGAGAATCAACCTTAATTTTCAACTTATTTTTAAGGGGAAAATCCCTCCGAACCCCTTCACGAGAAAAATGTTGTATGGCAAGAAGATTTGGAGGCAGTTAAATGAAAAAGATTCATACTGGTGATGGCTGCTGTTCTCCCAAAACATACTAGGTGTATGTTACTTTGCCTGAGAAGGCTATCATAGGCCTACTTTTCTTACCGTGTCAGTGTTGAAGGTCGGGGAACAACATGCAAAGCGTGATACAGGCATCTATTATTATCAATTAAATATTTCAATGATATTTTGGTTTATTTGAGGTAGATTTCGTCTCTATATATACATTTGAGATGTAGGAGAGATAGGAAAGGTGCAAATACTAGCTTAAAGAGTCCTTATAATCATTCATAAGCAAAGACATGTCAGACCTTGTGACCAAGGTTATTGTCTTCATGAAATGACATCACCTTTGTATGCGGTGATTTATTATTCGTAAATCGTCATTCCCTACGTGAATATAACACACTTGACGTATTTGGCTATAGAAAATTATTTCATTATAACAGAGAAAGTATCTGGCATCCAATTGCGAACTAATGCTCAGTTCACACCAACGGTGCTTTGATGGCGCTTTAAAGCGGCGTACAAAGCGGTATCAAAGCGTAACAAAGCTCGACTAAAGCGCCATAGATAGATCGTTGGAAAGCTTTGAGCAAAGCTGGATATTCGGCAAGAGCGCCAAAAAATTTTAAACTGTTTAAAAATTTTGGGCGCTCTGTCACGAATTGATTATCAAAGCTTAACAAAGCGTAACAAAGTTCAGCAAAGCTTGACTCAAAGCGTAGGAAAGCTTAACAGAGCTTTATTCAAAGCGGGGACCCCAGTTTTCACGGTCTGTCACCACTTGATCAAAAGCGGCATGAAATCGGCCATTTCGAAATTTTCCAATGCGTAACAGAGCTTAACAATGCATAACAGAGCTTGATAATCGTATCAGAGCGTGATTTAAAGCGTCATAACCGCATCAAAGCTTAATAAAGCTTATCAAAGCGTGATTTAAAGCGTAACAAGGCCTGATCAAATCGGGAAATAATTCGTCCCCAAAGCGTAACCAATTCGTATCAGAGCTTATCAGAGCGTAACATTACTTAGGAGATCGTGATATTTTTTGAAAAGTAAACAAAAAATGATGGCGCTTTGCTCGCCGATTTAAAGCGCGGCATTCGCCGTTGGTGTGAACTAGGCATAATTAACTAGAGACTTAACCAAGCCTCACGCAACAACCACTGCCTCCAAGCAATTACTGCTTTATTAGGTAACGACTTACTGCCTTATCAGGTAAAGACTGCTTTCTTTATATGTACTGCCTTATCAGGAAACGACTGACTCCTTGTAAATTACTGCCTTATCAGAAAAAAACGACTGCCTCCTTGTAATTTACTGCGTTATCAGATATCGACTGCCTCCTTGTAATTACTGCATTATCAGATATCGACTGTCTCCTTGTAATAACTGCATTATCAGATATCGACTGCCTCCTTGTAATTACTGCATTATCAGATATCGACTGCCTCCTTGTAATTACTGCATTATCAGATAACGACTGCCTCGTTGTAATTACTGCATTATCAGATAACGACTGCCTCCTTGTAATTACTGCATTATCAGATAACGACTGCCTCCTTGTAATTACTGCATTATCAGATATCGACTGCCTCCTTGTAATTACTGCATTATCAGATAACGACTGCCTCCTTGTAATTACTGCATTATCAGATATCGACTGCCTCCTTGTAATTACTGCATTATTAGATATCGACTGCCTCCTTGTAATTACTGCATTATTGGGTAATGACTGCCTCCTTGTAATTACTGCCTCATCAGGCATCGACTGTCTCCTTGTAGTAACTGCATTATCAGATATCGACTGCCTCCTTGTAATTACTGCATTATTGGGTAATGACTGCCTCCTTGTAATTACTGCCTTATCAGGCAACGACTGCCTCCTTGTAATTACTGCATTATCAGGCAACGACTGCCTTGTTATTGACAATTACTGTCTTACAATGGCGCCATTGGGGATATAGAAGGGGTTTTCTTATCTGGTAACGACTACTTCCTTGTTATTAATGCATTATTTGGTAACGACTGTCTCCTAGCAATTACTTACCAATTACTGCATTTTCATGTAACCACCTGCCCCCTAGTAATAACAGCTTTATTATGTAACGACTGCCTCCTATTAACTACTACATTATCAGCAGATGCTTGCTTGCTAACATGAAAGTCCAGGGTTCAATGCCGGCTTTGTTCGTAATAATACCTTAGGTGTTTCTATGTACAT